CCCCATTGCAGATAAATTCTCTTTATAGAAAGTTAAATGGGCCATAAAATATGGGTTTGACAAGAATCCACATTTTGCAGTTTAACTTAGGCTAGTTTACTTTACCTGCTAGGGCCACAAGACAATATTTACTCATGCACTCTTTCTGCTAGTGACTGTGGATTTCCCTCGTCACTCTAAAAGAAAAAGAAGCCTTAGCAACCTCACATTCTATGGAACTGCAGACTAGAATTACCAACCCATTTAACTTAAAGACTTTCTCTGCAAGTGCATTATCTTCAATTCCTACAAGTGATAATGTCATTTTACTGATGATTGTTGTTAGTGTGGAACAGGCTAGGGGCGCATGTGCATCTTTTGTGTTTGGTTTTGTCACATTCATGTCGATTGGAGGGTTTCCTTCGTTCGTGGAAGATATGAAGGTTACTTTCATCCTGCTATCTTACAAACCTACCTATTAATTACCTCATTCAACAATAAACTAGTAACACAATTCACTGAATTATTATTATCTGATATCATAATTCACTACTGGATCAGGTTTTTCAAAGAGAAAGGCTGAATGGTCACTACGGTGTGGCTGCATTTGTGATCAGCAACACCTTCTCTGCCATGCCATTTCTGATTCTCATCACTTTTCTGTCCGGAACCGTGTGCTATTTCATGGTCCGCCTCCACCCAGGCTTCATGCATTATCTATTCTTCGTGCTGTGCTTATACGCAAGCGTCACCGTGGTTGAGAGCCTCATGATGGCCATAGCCAGTGTCGTTCCCAATTTCCTGATGGGCATCATCACAGGGGCAGGAATTCAGGTACCCAAAAAAAAAAACATTATGGATCAATTGTTGTTTAAGTTTAACATGCATTACATCTATACTGTGTGTTCAGGGTATATTTATGCTAGTCTCCGGATACTTCAGACTCCCTAATGACATCCCAAAGCCTTTCTGGCGTTACCCAATGTCCTACATCAGCTTCCACTTCTGGGCTTTACAGGTACCAAACCAAAGAATGCCACTCTGCATTTTATTTTACACAATAAATAACAAGAATTCGAATCAAAATAAATAATAATTTGTTGAACGGAACATACAGGGACAGTACCAGAATGATCTGAAGGGATTAGTGTTCGACAACCAGTCACCAGATCTGCCCAAAATCCCTGGCGAGTTCATCCTGGAAAACATATTCCAGATCGACGTGAACAGATCAAAATGGGTGGACCTCAGCGTTCTGTTCTGCATGATCATCATCTACCGCCTCATATTCTTCATTGTAATCAAGATAAACGAGGATGTGACGCCGTGGATCCGAGGATACATAGCCAGGAGGAGAATGCAGCAAAAGAATGGGAATCAAACAACTACGGTTGCGCCGTTTGGTCTCACCCAGTCCCCTTCATTGAGGTCCTACGCTACCGGACCTGCCAAGAAGTAGATCAAAACAAGAATCATCAATCATAGGTTACAACCTGTCAAGCCTTTGCATACTTGTAATATGTAACAAATTAAATACGAGAGAGAGATGGTGTTTACTCTACGGTAATTATTATAAGTTCTTGCTCTAAATGCATGGAGTTGGCTCTTTCTTAGGCCAATTCATTCATTCATTACGTACTCCTTATCAAATTGGTGAAACAATTATTTCTTACTTTTGAGTTACTTGCTCATCAAATTAAATATTATTTTTGTTACATTTAGACCACGAGTTACTTTTAAATTACTTGGTCATTAAATATTATTTTTGTTACTTACATTTAGACAATGATTTTATTTTTTTTCCCAATATTTAATCCTTTCTGTCAAATGTGGACCGAAAATGACTATAATTCATCTCAAAGTTATACCAATTTGAACATCTTGATACGTTTGGATATAAATGTAAGATTTTGAACTATAACTATAATATTAGGGGTGGGCAATTCAATTCAGTTCCGTAATATACCTAACAACCGAATAGTAATGGATTCTTGTACATGGAACAGTTTGGAAAAAATCAAATCAAACCGAATACCGTTTGATTTTAATAATAATAATAATAATAATAATAATAAGTAAATCCAAGTCCATTGCTGTATGTTCTGTCGTTTAACTCATATTCTCACCGTATTTCTATTAAATTTTTTATTTAATTTTTTTATGACTTGTTCTATACTTTGCACTTTTACTGTTTGCCGCAATTATTCTTTGCCTCACAATTATCTCTAATTTAAGTTATTCTAACAACATTCAATTTTTTTTTTTTTTGAGTTTCTATGAAATTAATGTGCTCCAACATCATTCTAATTTTGATTTCCAGTGCTGTTAGTTTCTAGACTTTTTGGAAGCCTACCGGGGGCCAACACAACCGAGAAAGTTGGTGAAACACTGAAAATATGAAAGATAAAAAAATAGATAGAAAAAGAATTGACACAATGACTTTTATGTGAAAACCGAAAGGAAAAATCACAGACCTTTGTGGGTGATGCCAAACCAAAAATTTCACTATTTTGTAAGAGATTTTTGTACATATTACATTGTGTATGGATGAAGCTTTCTCTTTCTCTTTCAAATGTTGAGCCCTGATCCCCCCCCCCCCCTTCCCCCCCTTGCTCTTCACTCTCTCATTCTTTTATAGCTACCAAATACCAGAAGGGTCTTGAAGGGTAGTAAGTGGTGTTTATTAGGATTTAATAAAGTGGTGTTTATTAGGATTTAATGAGTATTAAAGGGTAGTAAATAGGAGGTTAGATTCCTTTTAACTTGGAGGGTGTGGTTGAGTGGAAGAGATTCATTCATCCTTAACTAAAGGTCAAGGGTTTAATCATTGACTTTGGGTATGGAGCAACTTTAAATTTATAGACTAGTTCGCATGTTTTACTCAAAAGAGGTGCCTACAATTCAGTGAATGAATTAGTCATTGTGGCCGATATATAGTGAAAACCATGGGTACACTCAAAAAAAAAAAAAAAAGAAAAAGAAAAAAGAGGTTAGAATTGGGTAAATTAATAGGTAATAATAGGTGTTTTAGTGGGTTATAAAGAGGTATTTATGGGCTGTAATATGAGTAGTTAGTAGGGCAAGTAATGTGTATTATTTGGGGGTTATGGAGGGGTGTTTGGTTAGTTTAGCTTTAGGGAGCCAAAAATTCGACTGGTTGGTCACGCTTCGATTTGTTGTTAGGTGGTTCGAATTGATTTTCATACACGATATCCATTAAGTGCACTGGAATATTATTTTTCAATTTAGAAATATATTTTCAGTTCACTGAAATTATTTTCCCGTGTATTGGAAATATATTTTGCCAAACAATAACGGATTGTGTCCAAAAATTAACTATATAGTATTTGATACTTGTTATCTAAATATTGACTATACAAATGAATAATTCTTCAATCATCTTGTCAACAAAACATTCCAAGTGAGTCAATTGAAGAATCGATTGGCAAACAAGTTAACGGATTTTTGGTAATTAGTACACAGTAATGTGTTTGAATTTTGGATTTCTATTTTATTATGACCTTGTTTGGTAAAATAGTTAGTCTATCCGCTAATTTTAACTTATTTGACTACTATTAACTGTTTCAATTGGTTAAACAATCAATGAGTATTTAATTAATTAGTTTTTTGTAACAACTTATTGCTCCAAAATGCTAAAATTAAAAAAGCTGGTCAAAGTAGCTTTTTCGATAAGCTTTTTGAGAAAGTCATGTTTGTAATCAGTTATCAGCTAACAAATAATTTACCAAACACTTTTTCTACAATCAGTTAATGCTATCAACTAGTCAAACCCACTAACTTAACCAGCTAACAACTATTTACCAAACACCTCCTATATAATGTTTAGACTTTGGATTTGGACTATATCAATATGTATTTGGTAGTGTGTTTGAAAAATTAGAAAATTTGGAAAATTGAGGTTCTTTAACCGAACCGAACTATAACGTTAAAATGAATGATATCATTTTTTTAATACCAAAATATCAGTACCGAAATAAATAAATAAAAACTTGAACCAAATCCCGAAACACCTACCGCTAATAAAAATTATATGAAAATATCAAATGTGACAAAAATTGAAAGCCATATATCAAATGTGATAAAAAAAACAATACTTAATTCTCGAACACCTTTCATTCAATTACCAAATTTCTATTAAATTGAATTAATGGTGTTCAACAAATGTGAAAATAATTTATTGATGAAATTGAACACCATTAATTCAATTTAATACGGAGTAGAAATTTGGTAATAAAAAAAAAAAAACTAAACTTTTTTTTAATAAATTTATTGTTTATATTTTATTTTTAACTTTACTTTTTTACTAAAAAAATATTTTCTTATTAAAAGGTGAAATTTCCTTGCCCTAAAGACTCCTCACTTCTTTTCAAGCACAAAAATTATTGACTTTCTCAACCTATTAAGAGAAAGTCAATGTTCCCACCGGAATTTAAACCCCCCATTTGAAATAGTCACAGTTATACCGTTTGAAACGGCTTGATCACAATTTGACAAAAAAAAAAAATACTATATATAAAATATCGCAAACAAGTGTTTTGGAAATCAAATAGTGTGGGATCATGTATGACCCATAAATAATATTATTAAGCATGTAGTGTTATCGATAACTAGTCGAATAAAAAAAAAAATCAGAGTTTAAGATAATGGAAAGTGTGAATTAGATTTCTTATGCGTACATAAAGGATGGAGTGATTGTGCGTCTAAGAGTAAAGTCTTGTGGACTTAATAAATTCGATTACTTAAGTATTTAAAAAATATATATATTTTTACTCACTCAAAATTTTGATATTGACATTTTCTCATGATCTATAGAATAAAGATAATTTGTTATTTTTTATTGAACAAAGGTCTTGTGGTCCCACTTCTCTATATTTGATGTCATAGAGTCATAGACTATTGTGTCTGCCAAAAAAGAAAATGGCTACACTGTTACAGTGATCTTAGCCTCCGCCTCCTCGTCCTCGTTGTCGTTGGAGACTTGGCTTCTGGCAGCTCAGAAAATGGCTAAAAATCGATCTGAAACCAAGAAATCCGTAGCAGAAGAAGAAGATTCTTCAACAGACAATGAAGGTTCGGAGTCGGAATCGGAATCGGAACCGGAGAAAACCCAAACTCAAATGCAGATTGCCAAAAGTCCATCCGCGGCGGCAACGAAGGTCACCGAAGCATCATCTACGCATGCCAAAATTCAGGCCGCTTCGTCGTCTTCATATGAGACTGATACCGAATCGGATTCCGAGTCCGAGTCCGAGTCTCAAAGACCCGCCCCGATTGTTAAACCCACGGATCACCCACGAGAATCCGCCCAAACCAAGCCGAGAAAATCCGGTGCCGAAGCTAAACGCCCGGCGCCTGCTGCGGACAGAGAAGTCACAGAATCGAAGAGGCAGAAGCGAAATCCGGAATCCGTGGTAGAATTCTCCGAGGAGATTAAACCATCGGCAGACGATTCGAAGAAACAGCTATTCCAGAGACTGGAGCGAAGACGATGAAATAGCTCTTCTGGAGGGAATGATCGAGTACACGGAGAAGGAGAATGCCGATCCGCATACTGACTTGGACGCGTTTCACGATTTCATACGAAAGTCTCTGCATTTCACAGTGAGTAAAAACCAGCTGCAGAATAAGATAAAGCGGGTGAGGAAAAAGTACATAAACAACGCCGGAAAGGGGAAGAAAGGAAAGGAGAAGTCATTCTCAAAACCCCACGAGCAAAAAACCTATGAACTGTCCAGGAAAATATGGGGGAAAGGGGATGAGAAAATCGAGGATAAACTCGGGGATAGCAGCAGCCAAGTAAGACTTGTTCACGCTCTGATGGCCTGCAATGGAGAAGAAAAAATCAATAAAAATTCAATGAAGAAAGCTCCGGTCATTGAGGACGCCATTGAAACGCCTGAGGCTGCTGCTTCGAGTGGATGGAAGAATGGCGTCAAGAGAATGGAGGCTGAGAACAAAGCGGAATTGAATTCACTGTCGCAATTTATGGAGAAGAACAAAGGTATTGTGATCGGTGAGGAGAAGAGAAACGAGATTGAGAAGAAGCGGAAAGCTGTGGTGGTAGCTGAGATCGATCTGTTCTTGAAGGAGCTAGAGCTGATTCAAGAACAAGTGAAGGCGACTTTGGAAGCCATGAAGTAGTCGCTGCAAAATGAGGGATCAATGAAGTTATTACCAGTTTTTTGCCCTCCCTCTGTTTTGATATTTTGCTAAGTCAAACATGAACGCTGGAATCCTCTTTGCAAATAAATTATTAGTATCTTTACATCATAAAGGCCAACAAATAAAGAAAACAAGAATAAAATTGAACATCTAAAAAACATGATAAAATCATAACTATTCACTCTGAAAAGTGCCTTCCACCTGCAATACATTATACATCAACAAACAAACCCCTATCCTCCTTCCTGCTGCTTTCTAAAATCTTATGTATGTGTGTTTTAGTAGGATTAAAGAGGAGGCAAAAGCTATGACTGGTCAACTGTTACACCCCCTATATGTTCTCTAATTTGCTAAGAACCGTAGATCATCAATCCAAACCCAAATTAGAATCCATTTTCTTTCTGTTCCCTTTCTTGTATATGTATCACAGTAAGCCTCTATATAGAATACACTCCCAGAAAGGACCTGAAGGTGAGCTGGAAGGAATTATGAATCACAGCATCAGGAAACCTTATCTAATGGGTCAAGATACAACAGCCTTTTCATCTCCGAGAACATGTTTTTTTCACGCGGCTTGGCATTTGAGTGTCAGGTGGGATATGATAGCCAAGCGCCAGAGAAGTTCTAGAAGATGTATTCATCTGGGGGTGCTTCTTCTGGAATCTGAAAAGAGAAAAGCTGCAGTAAGCATCAAGGTGTTTTCAGGATTTCTTAAACACATTACAATGACCAGCAAAATTTTTGGAAGGGACGGACGGGGTGGCATTTATATGCAAATTGATTCAACATCAAATTAATAAAGCTAGTTCTGGCATGATACTGCTCAAAGAAGCAATAGTCAAAACAATTTCAATGTGATAGAGTCCCGTGCCTCCCCTGGGTCCTACCTTTCCCTCTATTGATCTGTGATTGTGATGCCTTCTAACTAAGGCATGTATAACTGACACTTTCCTGGAAATGTATGTGCATGATATTTTGTGAGGATGCATTGACAGTTATTCAGGTTTTAATCATGCAAGACCTCACAACTAACTTGCCATTCAACAAGATGCATGAAACTGGTTACCTCTCCAATCTTCCACTCCTTACTCCAGATGCTATCATCTAAAATAGCTTTCTCCTTCTGCTTTCTGATAAAAGGGGAATTCAACAGTTAGTCCCATCGTATATAGGCTACATCAATGAGGAATAACATCTTGGTACAAAGCACAAGATAAGCCAGAATAGGCTAGAGGAATTTTCTTGTCTTCTCTGTTTTTTTTTTTTTGTTTTTTTTAAGGAGATTCAAAATTACATTGCTCTAGCAAAGCACTTGGTATTTGTACAACATACAACATTTCACAAGGGTTAGTCCACTGATAGGAATCTAGGATGTAGCCTAAAGTGGAAGCAATAGATGCAGAATTGTCTGTAAAACAACTGCTGGACAATTCCATCTGCCCCTTCCATGAAACCAACTTTTTAAGCACAAACACTGTCTAAAATCCTTGTACATTTTACAAGTTCCTAGACCTTGCCAACACATTAGTCATGTGTTTCTATAATCCAAATACATTAAACATATAATTTTTGAAAAAGTCAGATTTAAATTGAAATCTATTAACCAAAAACTTATAAGAGAGATACGGAACTTTAAATTTCAATTTCAGTTTTTAAAGTGGGTGGGGGGTATAGTAAAGAGACTTATGAGGTGGACCTGTAATCTATATTGTTTTCATTTGCCATGTCACAGTTAAAAGTAGTTTTGAAAGGATAGAGTGAGTTTTGAAGGTTTTCAAGCTTCATCAGAAAATTTGAAAGACCTTGTCCTCCACACTCTCTCCTATTAAGACAATATCAAACAGAATAACAAGCAATTCACTGTGGATTCAAATGAAAAGTTGGTTTATGATCTTCACATGACATAACCCTAACCTTAAATCATTTATAATTTAAGTTTTGCCTAGGGGGTTGTCATTGGTAAACTTCAGAAAATGGTAAACACCAGACAAAGTCAAAACATTGATTCTAGATAAGATTGATTCTGCCAGTGATATATAGAAATCATCATTGATGGGACTTACATCAAGCCAGTATTGCCAAATGACTGTCCAATAGAACCAGAAAGTTGTGGAAAGAGAGACATGGAAGATGAGTTCCTCTCACCAGCCATGGCATTGTTGAGGGTTGCTGAACTGGAGGAGAAGGGGCTATGAAATGACTGAGCACCAAACTGGCTGCCCAAAGAACCTACAATAAAAATCAAGTCAAAACAACATCGATAAAACTCATAAAAGTACATGCAAAAGTATTGTGCTACAAATGTTATACGGCACCTGCATTTCCAAATGGCACATTATTCACCCCAAATGTACCCGGCATCTGACTGAAGTTCTCAAAGGGATTTGATTGCTGCAAAGTGTTACTTGGGGTAGCTGATAGCCTTGAATTTGGAAGAGAAAAACATCCATCAAAAGCCAAAACTATATAATTGGAAATTTAATACACCAATACCAAATATTTGAAAGGTAACAAACATTAATAAATAAATTACAACTATGTAAATTAAATTATTTTAATCATTAAAAAATGCAATTTCAGAGAGTTCATGGTGTTAAATTAAAAAAGAATGCTGAAAGTGTGAAAAAGGAAAAATGGAGAAAAAACAGAAATTGAGAAAAAAATTGAAAATGGAAAAACCAAAAAAAAAAAAGAGGGGGGGGGGGGTGGGGGGGGGGGAGGGGGGAAGGAAAAAAGTAATTTGGAAAAACAAATGAGGATAAAAGAATGTGAAAATGAGAGGGAAAAAAAGAGTGAGTTCATGGTGTTGAATTATTTTTTTTAAAGGTTGAAAATGTGAAAAAAGGAATGTTAAATTTTATTTTTTTTTAAAGGTGAATGTTGAAAATGTCTTTTTAAAGGATAAAAAAGGGAAAAGATCAGGAAAAAGAACGCTAAAAATGCTTCAAAGAGAAGGGAAAAGAAAAAAAAGCTGGAAATAAATAACAAGGAAAACCAAAAAGAGGAGGAGAAAAAAGAATAAAAGAAAGGGAAAAGGAAAAAAGAAAGCTGGAAAAAACAGAAGGAAGAGAAACAGGAATAAAAGAAAGTTCGGAAAAATAAATATCAAGCTGCTACCAAGACTAGCACCTACTGTTCATCCGTGTGTAGAGATTTTCGTTTCTCCACTTTGGAGAATTCCTAAAAGCATTTCTTCAAATTCTAGAAATTGGTAGGTAAAAATGTTCTAGAAAAATGACTCAATTTTCCAACTAGAAACGCACCCCAGCTTTTAACTATAAGAGCACATGCTAATATTTAGACACACAGAACTAATACTAACCCTGTATTCAAAAAAGCACCCAACTGACTAAAACTTGAGGTGAGTGGAGGACTTTGAGTACTCGTGACATTTTGACTGGCCCCAAAAAGAGGACTCTGAGAACCAGAACCAAAAGCTGAATTTGCTGAAGCTGAATAAGAATTACGAACTAAGTTATCAAATTCAGCTAACTTGGGTGTAATTAGACCCCTCTCCCTCTCAACCTGCATTGAATTGAGCATGGAAAACAATTAGAACCAAATCCATGAGATAATGGAGTCTTCTCTGTCAGTTTTGACTTTTGATCTCTCCGTCTCTTAATTTTCATCAGAGGGAGAGATGAGGAGATATGGGGGTTGAAGAGGAACACAGCTAATGAAACAGTAAATATATATATATATATATATATATATATATATATATATATATATATATGAGAGCATAAAAGTTCATCAGAGCCCATTCACTGTCTTCTTTTCCTTACTTTTAGGTTCAGCTTGGTATGTTGGAAAGGAATTATGATTCCAACTCCTAATTCCTTTTCCATGTTAGATATAGTTCATTTCACCAGTCATGATTCCTTAAGAATTAATGTTTCACTCCACACCATTTCTTTCATTACACAAAAGGAATAGAGATTCCAATGCCAAAATATATTTTATTAGGCTCAAATTATTTTGATTAACTAATATCATTGCCCTTGACCCATTCCATTCTTATGTCCAGACAATTCCAGGGTACCAAATGATGCCTTACATTCTTTGTGTCAATTTTTTGAAGCAAATCCCCCAAAAACCTGTTTCTATGGCACTACTTATAGATCATTCCTTGTCTGCAACAGACATCATAAATAGAGAAAAGAACAAGAAGCTAATGCACATCTTACAATTGATTGTAAGTTCAGCCCACGCTTAGCATCATCATATGCTGCTACTCGCAGCTCTTCATAGCTAACATCACCAATGACATCACAGGGGCCACTGCATTCAAATGAAATTATAGGCAAATGTTCATGATCCATGTGTCATAAATGGGTGAATATGTAGCATATTAATTAATTAAACTAAGTAAAGTTAAAGTGCTTCCTATCATAGAATAAATTATTTGAGGGTTCATGGCCTAGCATCCAGAACTATTTCCAGCTTGCAACTAACTAGTCAAAGGTGCACAATTCTTTATTGATCTTTTCATATCATGGAGGAACCCAGTGAATTGAGCAAAATGTATGAGAAGTGAGAAGACCTAGTTTTAAATTTAAAAAAAAAAACATACTTTTTCCGGTGCCCATAGCAGGTAAGGTTCCAAAGAGGCTTCTCATTTTGAAAATCTTCAATGATTTGACGTTTGCAAGACTCTGGATCTGTGCAGCTTTACATGTGGCACAACAAAATCCATCAATGACGAAGTTACAATTATAAAGGTTAGTATAGAAGAGAACTTTAAGTTGCCAAGCACGCACTCACACATGATTTGCTGCTCCCTGCTGATTGTCAGGTTGCCGTGCAGAGGTATTACTGGCATTTGCAGATGAACGGATCCACTTATTTTCAAATGGCTAATTGGAAGAAAAATAGGCAAAATTATCATGCAAATCACACAAGAGTATATCAAGGAAAGACAGAACACAACTCAATTATTACAAGGTACGTATCAAATTAACAAATAACAGAGACACCTCAGTGGGTTATAGAGGATAAAATTATTGTTATCACACATCATAAAAACATTGTAAATCCTCATGAAACACAGACTCCATTATTAAGATTTACAGTTTAATAATTAGTAACAATAATGCAAAAATATTATCAGTAATAAAATATTAGAGATTCAGATATTCAAGAAACAATTTTTGGCCGGATCATTAAAACCATCACGTATCCACTGAAAGGTTTAGGTTAAGTATAGTAACTAAATTACTGAGGAAAGAACCTTTTGTTGATTCTGTTTTAAACCAACATCATTGACTCCTCTTGACTGAGAGTTATTCTGAACACCAAACCCGAAAGGATTGGGCTGCTGCTGCTGCTGAAAATTCGTCCTCTGAAACTGTGTGCCACTTTGGCTGCCAAATCCAAATACATTTGGTTTTGGCTGTTGTTGGGTAACATGAAGAAATTTACAACGATCACCGTAATGACAGCTGCACATAAAAAATGTGAGAGATCAGACGTTGCTACTTGATAGTACAATGCAATAGACCTATTACAAATATGTAAAACTTGCACCATTTTAAATAAGTAAAATGTGAACACCAACCGAACATATTCAGTAAACAGGAATGGAGTTCTTCTAGTTACAAAACCAATCTTTCATAGCTGCCCCTTTCTAATCCTAATCAGGGTTTGATCTCATATATTAAAATTACCGCCATTGTAGAGAAAGGGAACTATGACTACTTGAATTTATTCAAATTAGAACAACTAGAGGTAATAATGTCAAAGTAGTTAGATAAGTGCACAGATCATAATAAACCACAAGATAATAATTTGAGCGCATTAAATAACCAGAAAAAAATAATAATAACAAACGGAATCTCTTCAGGGTTTATCCCTAAACCCTAATATATTTCGCCAGTGAGAAGGAAAACGCATACCTTCCACGGAGGAAATTTCGGCACGGCTCTTTCCTGGGAGGCATTCTCAAGTTATAGACACAAGGATTTTGGCCGGAAAATTCCTCGTGTTCGTGGGAAGAAAATCGCCGGTTTGCCGCGCCGGCGGGATGACCTGTTTAGCGCCCTTTTATACTGCTTACCTGCTGCTTTGAAATCTTTTCCAGAAGTTACTCAGAAAGAAATGAATTGATGAATTGATGCCGCCTTGACTACCTTGAGGGTGAGACGTACTTCTTAGGGTCGTGTGGTTCACGGAATGTCAGATTACTTTAGGGAATGTTAGATTCCTGTGTTTGGTTAAAATTGGGGTATGTAATATAATCATGTTTGGTTTAGGGTTATCTTTTATACACACTATAATATCCTTAACATATTTTCATATATTTTAATAAATTTAAAAATTAAAATAAATAAATAAAATAACGGTATCATATATAATTACATGATTTTAAAATATTAACTAAAATCTTGAACTTGAGAAACAAAATTATTTTATAGGTTAACATAACATAATAAAAATAAAAATATATAATTACAAAAATAATTATATATATATATATATATATATATATATATATATATATTATAATAATAATAATAATAAACTAACATAACTAAGGTTATCTTACATTACCTAAGATTTTGAAGGGAATCACATTCCCTTCAAAATCCTATGTGGAGGGAATGTGACATTCCTTGGGAATGTGACATTCCTTGGGAATGTTAGATTCCCTAAGATAATATGAACCAAACACCGGAATATGAGCTTTGGAATGTCACATTCCCTTGGTTATGTTATATAACCTGAAGCAAACGCCCCCTTCAAGCTTTAAAAATTACATCAAAAACCTCTGGAAATTCAAGATTATGCATTTATGCTAATTAATAATGTTTTTAACAATTGAGCATTTCAGTTCTTTTCACCAAATCAAATACTTGGCTTGTCTTAACAATTGATTTTATAAATAAATATGTAATTTTTCATTTGTTTTGAAAACATCAAATGTCCCAAATCAAAATATGTTAGTTATATTATAATTTACACAATATCAATTTTAAATCAAATGTATATCTTCAAATAGTGACGGTGAATTTTTCTCGTCACTCAAAAATTTAAATTAAATTCAATTGTACAAGTCGGTGTTCAACTATTATTTTGATTGTTAATTTTTTAAGAATAAAATAAATATTACATCTCTATGCTTAATATTAATATTATTATTAGTATTATTATAAAATAAAATACCACAAATTTATTATTGAGAAAAAAATCACTAAAATACGAAGAGAATTTACATTTTTTTGGTCTTTAAGGGTTGGGTTTCCATTTGGAAGGTTGTGAGTTCGAACCTCAGTGGAGGCGTTATTGGCGTTATTGGCTCTTTGTGTTTCAGTAGGTTGAGAAAGTATATGAACAGATACTACAATGTAGGGCCAGTATCATTCAAAAAAACAAAGTTGCGTTATTGGCTCTTTGTGTTTCAGTAGGTTGAGAAAGTATATGAACAGATACTACAATGTAATAGGGCCAGTATCATTCAAAAAAAAAAAATTGCGTTATTGGCTCTTTGTGTTTCAGTAGGTTGAGAAAGTATATGAACAGATACTACAATGTAATAGGGCCAGTATCATTCAAAAAAAAAAAAAAAGAAGTTATATTTGTACTACAAACTTAGTCATTGAGTTATATGCGTGACTATTTTAACCCTTAAGTTGTGCACAAAGTGACGATTTCAGTCCCTCGAAGACTATTTCTATCACCAAAAAGTTATATTTGTACTACAAACTTAGTCATTGAGTTATATGCGTGACTATTTTAACTCTTAAGTTGTGCACAAAGTGACGATTTCAGTCCCTCGAAGACTATTTCTATCACCAAAAAGTTATATTTGTACTACAAACTTAGTCATTGAGTTATATGCGTGACTATTTTAACTATTAAGTTGTGCACAAAGTGACGATTTCAGTCCCTCGAAGACTATTTCTATCACCAAAAAGTTATATTTGTACTACAAACTTAGTCATTGAGTTATATGCGTGATTATTTTAACCCTTAAGTTGTGCACAAAGTGACGATTTCAGTCCCTCGAAGACTATTTCTATCACCAAATTGTCACTTAATAAAGTGGCTGATTTGACCATTTAAGGACTAAAATCGCCACTCTATGTTTAAATATGATCACATATGTAATTCAATGACTAAGTCTATACACAGATATAACTAGATGACAAAAAATGCAATTTTCTCAGAAAACTATATTTCAAACTCTGGACAAGGTTGAGAGTTCATAGCTTCAACTACAATATAATATTAGAAATTATGGATATATATATATATATATATATATATATATATATATATATATATATATAATGAAAATTTTTAATTTTAAAATTTAAATAAAAGTAGAATGTGCCTTGTGTTAAATTGTCTTTACAAAATACAAACAATATATTAACCTGAGAATGCAGGTACATAAAATAAATTGAATGGTTATTTTGGGGTGGATTTCGGTTGATGACTAAACCAATGGATTTTGGGTAATTTTCAAAAGTCGTGGGGCGAAACGGTTAACATACCGGTCTCAGTGAAAGAAAATGAACTAGTGCACCGGACTAGGGTTTTTCTTTCGGAGGGAGAAAGGGCAGACCTCTAGCCGTGGAGAAGAGATGGAAAAAGGAGAAGAAGACGGTGTAAAGACGAGGATTTACGTCGGAGGTTTGGGTGAGGGCGTGACCGCCGAGGATCTGAAGAAGACCTTCTCCTCACCCCAGCTCGGCGCCGTCCAATCCGTCGACCTCATTCGTACAAAAGGCCGCAGCTTTGCCTACTTGGATTTCGTCCCATCTTCCGACCACTCCTTGCTCAAGCTTCTCAGCAAGGTCTCTCTCTCTATGAATATGATGCTCTATCAAAATCTTTATTTGTAAAAATTTTGTTTTGGAAATTATGGCGGGACTGTCAATTCTTCTGCAACACGATCATGCTAATATTGGTGCTGGAATGATATATTTTACAGTTTTCAATCAGAAAATGATTGTTTTAAGGAAGCAAAAACACACTGCATTGGTTTTGGGAATGACTATATAGTCTTTAGCTTTTGATCATAGAGCAACTGCCTACAAATAACAATGTTAATGTTTTAATGTTGTTTGCTTATGTCCTGCTGCCCTTTGTCATCACTTATTGTTAAACACTTGTACACTAATTAGTGGAGGCAGTTTTTGACTTTATGATAAGAATGTGAAGATTGATGGGCAAAGGATAAGGGCAATGACTGGTTAGTTTGCGAGCTACTAACTCAAAATATAACACACCAAATGCATATCTGAGTAGTGACACTTGACATATGAAAATTTTGAATAAATTCCAAAGACTAATAATTCACCCTTGGCATAGCATAAGGTGCAACAATTTCAAGTTTATTATGCGGTGTGTGTAGTAAATTGCTTCCATTATCTGTTTACATATAGTAGATAATTTTGTAGTAAATTACAATCCAATCTGGTGCAGCATCATTCTTAAGTGGCGTTTTCTCTGTGCACAAGTTAATTGATTTCAGCTTGTGCTTTCCTCTCAATATTCAATTCTCAGTATAATGGATGCATGTGGAAAGGTGGGAAACTAAGACTTGAGAAGGCTAAACAGCACTTCCTTCTACGTATGGAACGTGAGTGGGAAGAAGATGCTAAAGTTGATAGTGATTCTGCTTGTACTCCTTCTAGTCCCACAACAGGTTCCTCGGACAAGCCACAGAAGTATCCCAACTTGGAGAAAATGCAGCTTCATATTTACTTTCCCAAATTAAGAAAGGTAAAGTTCCTGCTTATGTTTTCCTCATTTCACAAGCTTTGGTGGATTTTTTTTGTTAGTACTTTTATCTTTGTATGACCTAGATAATGGATTGAGGGCAACGATACTTGAGAAATTCAAAGTTATTCTTTTATCCAAATCTCTCTTTTGAATTCAAAGTGATTCATGAAGGTTGAGGCCTGGGTTGAGTTAGTTATGTCTTTTCAAGATGCCTGTAGTTTTTCCTCAAGCGATAAAGTGTAATTCTTCTGAACTTTCATGCAGATAAGACTACTACCTCTCAAAGGAACCGGGAAACACAAATATAGTTTTCAGCGTGTCGAAGTTCCTCCTTTCCCAACTCACTTTTGTGATTGTGAGGAGCATTCTGGTGCTGCATATACACCCAAAGAAAAACCCTTGATTGACAAGGAAATTGAAATCGGTGGGGTAGATCAGGAAGAGTTGAACATCATGGCATCGGTCATGACCAAGATATTTGAGAGGGAGAACCGCACAGAGACAGCTTTTAGGCATGTTGAAGGTTCTGATGGAGTACAAAGTTTAACCAATGTAGCTGATCATAGCATGGTGGATGAAGCTATGGATGATGAGGATGAGGATGATGATGATGATGATGATGATGGCATCATTATTAATGTGGTGCAAAGGAAAAATGAGGGAATTAGTACATCATATGATATCGGCAAGAAACCAGTCACACATAATCAGGTATGACTTAATAACTTTGCTATTATGTAAGTTTTTTTGTAGTTGGCTTTATAATTACAGATTAGGGAAAGATGTTTACTGGATTAGGTAGAAATGTTATGCTTGTATTTTCCCAATGGGAAGACCCACCGAGATGACTGTCATGTCTCCCCTTTACTAAAATTAAGTGGGCAATAATCTATCGGCCTTGGTTCAAGGTTCAAGAGAGGAGGGGGGCGGGGTATGGGTAGTGGTTTCATCTAGGCGGTTCTTTCACTTTAGGGAAACTACTACAAAATTTATTGGGTACTAAATTTTTCCTTTAAAAGCCTGTTCTGGAACCTACCCTTTTGATAGATTTTGACATTCTTTCTTTTATGTTACCCCCACCTTAAATTTTCAGAAATCACCATCTGAGATAAAGCATGGTGATCAAAAGACTGCTGCCCGAAAGAGGAAATTTCCTCAAGACACAGGTGGTGGTGCAATAGATAATTTGTCTGCAGGAAATGATGGGAAGCATAATTTTTGTGCACTGGCTGGTGATGCAGTAGATGCTTGCCACATTGAAGCAAAATCATGTAGCCTGCAATCCAATGGTAAGGCCTCCTCACAGCAGTCTGCTTGGGGAGATCCTGTGGACATCAAAACTGATGTTACACTCAACACTGCAGATGTTGGGGTGGACAGCACTCCTGGAAAGAAGCGACAACGTCATCAATCAGGGACAGGTTTGCAATTTAAATCTGATGGTGTTGATATGTCAAGTTTTACTGATGAAAAAAATCAGGAAAAATCGGAGCAGCATGAGGGTCCAGCAAAAATTGGTGAAGCTTCTTCTAGCAAGGTAAATGCATCTACAAAAAAGTCAGCCAGAGGTGCTTCATGGCTGCAAACATCCTCATGGACACAGCTAGTCGGTGGTATGAATAGCAGTTCATTTAGTATTTCTCAAATTGTGCCCAGTTTCAATTTTGAGAGGCAGGACTTGTCAATATCCAGATCCAGTGGGTCTGGCAAGCAGGAAAGTGGCACAGACAATTCTAAAGGAAATATGTCAAAAATGGGGGGAGGAACTAATGTCAATCCTCCACCTGCTCCTGGAATTTCCATAGATGGTGCTTCAGAAAAAAGCAACAATGTTCAATTGGATCAAGGGGTGTCCAAACCAGATAATCACCGGCAGAGGGATGGGGTAACTAATGAAGAGAAGAAACACCAATTGACCTCAAAACAAACATCCCCAGACCTGAGCATTGGAGAAACTTGTTCTTTCACAAAAAGTGCTACTTCAATGAAACAATGGATGAAGGCAAAGACAGCTTTGAGTAGCTCACTTAAGAAGAAGGATAAGTAGGTTCTTTGAGACACTGACCAAGTGACCATCAATTAGACAGTGTTTTTTTTTTTTTTTTTTTTTTTTTTTTTAAGTATTTATTATTTTCTTGGTACAACAGAAAGGATTATGCAACTCTATTTACCATGTGTTGAATGCACAAGTAGTTAGATTTCGCATTCAATTTTTTTGGTTGGATTTTTGATGAGGTTGATTCTAGATTTGTACTGAACATCATGTATTGAAGCTGATGATTCCTATACGAATTGAGCTTACTGAGTTGTGTCCAGCACGAAGAGGTAAAAGCCAAGCTAGATGGGTTATTTTGACATGCATACCCAGTAAAATTCATAATTACTAAGGAGGCATTTTGAGAAGGCATTTTGAGAATACTATAATACTAGGTATCTCTAATCAAGTTAGTTAGGTTGTTGACTTAGTAAGCGAAATAAAAAAAAATAATAATTAAACTTTTAGTGAGAAGTATTTATTGGTTTCTCAGTTTGAATTTGTTATCTAATTCTTTATTGACTAAGGTTACAAGGTCATATTTACGTAGTTCACACTTTTAAATAATGATTGTAAATTTTTTTTGTCGAAAAAAAATAATATAATACCTTCACGGTCCCTATAGAATGGGATGTAAGGACTTTGACAAGAGATTTTGCCTTTTTCATTCAAGAATACTATAATACTAATTTAACAAATCTTTTACCTTTAAGAAATCATAGTACAACAACAATGTAAATATATAGTCATCATCCATCACTGGGAAGCAGCTCCAGTTCACACTCCTATAAATATATAGTCCAGTATACACTCCTATAAATATATAGTCATCATCCTTCAATAATACTCTGCAGTAGTATTTTGCCCAAACAAAGTATAAGTTTTTCAAGAAGTTCAAGAACATGTTAAAACTCTTTACAGTTACATCTTGCATATTCTGCAACACTTCTTTAGGTCTTTAGGTTAACAAGAGCAACCAAAGAATCATTTGAACAGCAAAAACTAATTAAGTGTCAGATCAACAACATCAATAGAATATAATTGGGCTACCAAGAGTCAGCGAATAAGTTATAGACAAATAAATACCGTGTATTTTACTAACATCGGCTAAAGTAAAATTAATGAAACAAGAACACAATTTTTTTTTACCGCGTATTTTACTAACATCGGCTAAAGTAAAATTAATGAAACAAGAACACAATTTTTTTTTTCAATAGGTACGAAATCAACATAAAACTTTTACTAAAAGCATATCATTAGGGAGTGAAAAAATAAGCAAATGTTCATTCATTCTGGATATTTAGTTCATTCATTATGGATATTTAGTTCATTCATTCTGGATATTTAGTTCATTCATTCTGAATATTTAGTTCATTCATTATCTGTATTATCTTTTCAAAAAACAAGTATATATATTATGTTATACAATACAATTTTGTATATTCTGTTATACAATTATGTACATTCTATTATACAATTACGTACATTTTTAAAACATGAATTTTTTTTAAAGAAGTTAACAGCAGACACGAAAAGCAAAATATTAAAAAAAAAAAAAAAAAAAAAAAAAACGACATCATTTTGCAGCCCTGGTGCACGATATAAATTGCCTAATTTGACCCACTTAGATTGGACCAAACCATTTTGCTTTCCATTTCGGCCCTTATGCTCCACGGCCAATTGTTGTACTGTTCAATTGTTATGCCATGGATCATGTCCACCTTGCAAGGTGGACCTAGGTCTAAAATAACGCCGTATTAAAAAAAAAAAGCGTACTTCTTTACCGTTAACTTGCCGTTTATCTTCAGAATTCGTTACTCTATATTCACAATTTTAAATCTCAATATTCACAATTGCAGAACTCTATATTCACATTACAAAAATCTATATTCACAATTTCATAACTTTATATTCGCAATTTTATAACTCTATATTCACAATTAAAAAACTATATATATTTGCCATGGCATGTAGTGGTTCTCCCATATGGGAGGTCATGATATCGAGTCTCGGTGGAGGCAGTGTTCAAAAAAAAAAAAAAAAAAAAAAAAAAACGATTCCACTAACGGCACTGTGATTCCACACGCGTGTTTTGGACCTGGATCCACATTGCAAGGTGGACATGGGTCCACAACATAATTTGCTTATATTGTGGACCATGGTCTACAATGTTAGGTGAACCATGATCGTCAAATGAAACTGTAGTAGAATTAAAATAATATTGCAGTGTTGCTATAATGAAATTAGTGTGAGTGGAAAATGAAACTAAAAAAAAAAAAGAGCTCATTTGACAATGTATATTGTCAAATTAAACTGTAATATAATTAAAATGATACTTTAGTGTTGTTATAATGAAACTAAAATTTTGAGTGATACAATAATATATATTGTCAAATGAACCTAGAATGTAATTAAAATAGTACTTTTTTTTTTTTTTTTTGAAAACCAACAACAAAGACGATATATTAAATCAACTCAAAAATAAAATGAGGGCCTCCCAACTCATAGGACCAGGCTGAGAGCCAACAGCCTTTGCTAAAATATGTGCGGCTTGGTTCGCTGATTTAAAAATGTAACGAAAAACGCAACGCGGATTATCAATAGCAATCTGTTTACACTCATGAGTAATAGAACCAAGATAGGTTCATGTTTGCTGCGCCAACCTCCCCTACGGAAACATGCATATCTTGTTGAGTAACCTCCACTGCACGCTGAAGCTGCCACACTCCTATTGGCCTTCTCACCAGCCCCTCCCAGACTGCTTCATTACGCACCTGCCATATGAAATAAATAACAGCAGCAAACACATGCAATATTTGCTTGTCACAAGAATTGAACACTTGCTGAAACCAAACATCAATTTGTTCATCAGTATTGGCATTTGGCAGCTGTAAATTCGACAGTCTCCACACGCCAAAGGGCATGAATAAAAAATATGCATGAGAGTTTCATCCAGCAAGCCACATGTGGAACAATCTGGAGTTACCTCCACATGTTTAAAAAGCAATGCCATCTTGGTGGGCAATACCCCTCTCATAACACTCCACAACAAAGTCCTCCATTTTGGAGGACACTTTAAAAAAGGAGGATGAAAATGGGAGAGTTTCACAATCCTCCTTAATTATTTGTCCTTATTTTGACGATGGCTAGTATTGGAAGGGGATCTAAGGGGAAATTACTAAAATATAACTTATATGCAACACTGTATATTGTGAAATGAAATTGAAATAGAATTAAAATGATACTTTAATATTACTATAATGAGACTGTGTGTGGAAAATAAAATTGAAATGCAGATCAATATTGTCAAATGATACTTTATGCACCACACTAGTATATGCACTGTGGTCCAGCAAAAATTGATAAAGCTTCTTCTAGCAAGGCAAATGCATCTACAAAAAAATGGTCCAGCAAAAATTGGTAAAGCTTCTTCTAGCAAGGCAAATGCATCTACAAAAAAGTCAGCCAGGCTGCAAACATCCTCATGGACACAGCTGCTTGGTGGTATGAAATATGAATAGCAGTTCATTTAGTATTTCTCAAATTGTGCCCAGTTTCAGGACTTATCAATTTCTCAAATTGTGCCCAATTTAACAAACCTTTTACCTTAAGAAATCAGAGTACATTGATGTCTACAACAATGTAAATATATCGTCATCGTCATCGTCCATCACCTGGGAAGCAGACGGACTTAAAAGCCCGTGGGAGTACAAGATTCAATAAGATTGAAACTGACAGTATCTATTTCTTTATAAGTTGCTGATACAGACAAAGGAGCTTTGAATTTGGAAGGTAATGCTAAGAAAATGACGATTTCGACTGCCTCCTATCGCTCCTTAAGTTCCTGCTCAAATTGAAGTAATTTTTCACGAAGAGGTTGCAGAAACAATCTAAAATCCTGTTTGATCCGCTGCTTATCTTTTGGTTCAAGATCCTTGTCTTCACTTAGACTTGCCTCAATCTGCAATTAAAGAACCCATATGATATTTTTCATGACCAAATAGATTATACATCATAAATATGTGCTAATTTATTAATAGGAACACATTGTTTTTAGCAAAATAATCCAATGTATTACATGGTGAGGACAGTGGCACAAAATAGCAGTATTTTCTTTCAAAATTTTTACTGTAGCCAGGGGGTCACCACAATCTTTTTTTTATTAGTACTACTAATTCTATTACAATGTAGTATCTGTTCATAGCTACTTTCTCAACCTATTGAAGCACAAAGAGTCAATACCGCCCTTACTGGGGCTCAAACCCATGACCTCCCATAACGCAACCCATTTTCTTTTGGTTCCTAATATAATTTCTTGAAGATTTAGAGTACAAGAAGTTTATAGTTACAACTTATGCTAAAACATGTACCTGCAAGTCATCCAGCTCACCGAACGAGAACTCTGGTATCTCTATATGGCCCTTGACCACCTTCTTCTCAGCTCCAACAAGCCACTCACCTAATTTCAACTCACACCGTTAACACTTGAAACAAATAATACAGAAGTATATATTGAAGTAATTAAGTAAACAATGAAAAATGAAAAATAGAACTCAAATAAAATGAGAAAAAGTAAAGTGCCCACACATACATAAGATTTAAGTTAAATGATCAAATACTGAAATACATAGTATAAGAAGTGGAGGAAATCTACCTTTCACCTTTAGTGTTAGCTCATATGTGTAGCCAACACGTTTTTTGTTCCGCACAGTCACCAAGAATGCCTGATATGACAATCAAACATGTTAGTGACAAGTTACAGAAATGTAAAATGTCTCTGAAGTGATTCTATATACATATTTAACACAGATAGGTGTTAAGTAAAATGGTGTGGTTGAAATTTTTAAAGCACTCACATCACCGTTACATTTTGTTACTTCTGTTATTTCAGCTTTGCCGCCAGACAGTTCCAGAGATCCCACAGATACAAGCAACTCCTGCAGTTGGGAGAAAAATGAGGAAGTGCTTTTCATATATATATTTGTACATATGAGCACCTAATTTCCAATTGTACGCCTACCTGAACACATATGAAAGAGCAAATGTATGTCACCATTTCATTTATTTCGTTTTTTGGGTTTTGATCAGTTTTTTTTTTTTTTTTTTTTTGGAGGGGGGGCGTTGTGCTAGCAAATGGTTGCATATTTCACCAAAACAAAAATATCCCTTAAAAGACTGTTTAAGTACCCTATTATGTAATTATAGGGAGCTTCTCCCATGCACTCCAAACCACTTTTTGTGCTTCCATAATTGTCCCTTCACAATACTATATTCAAGGATGGTCCGATGGATGAAACAAAGTAATTTATCTTAGTGTTTTGGCTCCAAATCACCCCAAAATTCTCCTTGCATTTTAGATGTTTTTCAACACTGGGGTATGTAGTATCAAAAGGTGCCTAAATTGACACTCTGGTAGCGCTGGTGAATCAAATTAGCTTTTTACAATCTACATTTTATTTTAAAAACAAAAAAAAAAATGGAAAAGAACAGTTTACTCCAAACTGAATTAATAATTTCATATACTTCAGTTATAAGGTTGGCTTCATGAAAAACTTTATCCAAAAATCTCTTGCAGTCTTGCACAAGTGTCCTACATATTTTTTATATATAAATATGGGGTGCCTAAACTGGCTCTCATGCCACTATGACATCAATTCTGTTAGATTTACATATCTAAGTTTTATATCAACAATAAAAATAAAAAATAAAAGTTTTCAATAAACATATAAAACTTTAAGAATTACGGTATTGGAGATTAGACCATCAAAAGGTTCCAAATTATATACTTGGGGCATGCTTATTGTTATTGACATGAGGTTTTTAAAAGGAAAATTTTAAATGGCAGTTTTTTAGTTGGTGTGTGATAAATTTTATATTCAATCTCAATTTATTCAAATTCTATTTTTCTTTTTGTTAAATATGTAATGTAATAATATTAAATACTTAAGAATATGTAACACATTTGAGTGGCATAACTCTAACTGAATAATAAAAATCAGCTCTTATCTTGTAAAATTACCCATTTTTTCATTTTGTTGTGAGTAAAAGACTAACAGCAAACAAAAATATCAAACAAGTAAAGGCAGAAGCAGCATAAAAGACTGAAACATCACATTTTCAAAATAAAAACCAGAAAAGTGGGGTAATCATACTCTAAAATGAGTATCTAAGTTCAAACCTTAATCCTATCATTTGCCCATTTATTTAGACTTTTCTCTTCCCAAGTTCCAGCCTGCAAAGAAAACAAAGCATAAGTGAAAATGCAAAACATACCAAGTAAAGCAGTAATAAGCTTGGAATAAGTGGATAATGTAATTTGGTTTGGGTTGAGGTGGGGTGGGGGGAGTGATAAAAAATCAATAAAAGAGCAGAGACACATAACACAAAACATTGAATGTGGTATACTCCCCAAATTGAAAACAACTTGGGAGATTTGCTTTCCTTATGTTTGATTGGAAACCAATCCTTTCAACTAATTTTTTGCTATTATTTTCATTAATCTGTAATTTGTCTGCATGTTTCAGCCTCATTATTATATGCTGTTACAGGATATTCTCATTTTTGTTCTATATCAGTTTTATTTGCGTTTATATTTAGATCACGACTACAGTAACTGAGATTGCCTAGACGCTTGTAAATTCAATGCTTAAAATTAAGGCACTAGGGGAGGAATTTGAAGTAGCTTAATTATCAGTGGTAAAGAGTAGTTTAAGATTTAAGTACTTCGTTCAGTTTTTTATATCGCCACCAATAACATAATTCAGTTTTTTATATTTAGATCATGTCAACAGTCTTTTATATGAAAGCTGATTTGCCCCACTTCATCTAACACACCAATGGCCAATCCTATGTTCCTAAAGATTTCGTGCCAAGTGCACCAAGTAATAGGAAAAAGAAGAAGAAGAAGAAGAAGAAAAGATATAATACCCCTTTGGTCCCTCAACTAGTCAACTATAGTAGTATTTCCACTTTTAGTCCTAAACATTTTCAAATGGACCAAATTCAGTCTGAAATGCACTTACATTTGGACATTTTGGATTGAATTTGGTTGATTTAAAATAGTTGAGGGACCAAAAGTGGTGGAATTAATAGTCAAGGAACACAAATTGAAACACTACTATAGTCGAAGGACAAAAGGTGAAATTAATTCAAGGAAAAACAAAAGCACTATTTTTGGGGAATCATAGATCAGTCATCAGTTCCCCTCCCAAAATCCAAAGATTTTCACTTTTCAACCACTCTTTGAGTAATCTGCCACCAATTACATATGTCATATGCACAGTAAGTTATTCCCAAGTACTGGGTTTGGGAGGGACAAACCTATCACTATTGTTTAATATTCCATTATCGAAAAATTACTGAGTCATTATGACCAATTGTATCAAGACAAATTTAATGTTCTATTACACCAACAGTAAAATAATGTCCCCCCTGCATAATGAACAACAATAGGTTCGGAAAAACAAGACCATTTCCAAAAGCACCTTCTACTTTATACCCTACACTACCAAAATTGTAATCAACAGCATCTAGTTCCACGGAGATCCAGCCGAATTAACTAATAATCGATAAATGCAAAATAACTCGACCAACAAAGGAGACAAAAAAATGGCAGGGATAGAGAAACCTACCCTATTCCAGGCGGAGCCAAGATGGGTGGGGGTTTGATTGTTAGGTTGGTCCCCTGGGTTGAGCTTCCGGGGAACCGGCAGGGGAGCAGCGTCTGCGGTCTTCTCCCTAACCCAGTAGGTGTACGACGGCGCAGTCTCCTCCTTAGGCTTCTCCTCGGCAGCGGCGGCGGCGGCGGCAGCTGCACTTCCCTCCATTATTGTTATTATTACAAATCAAGATCAAGATCAAGAGCTTAAATCTTAATCCTTATCAGCAATATAACGACAACGGATCTCAATGGCACAGCGGAGAATGACGATTTTAGAGCAGAAACGAGAAACCCAATGGGCTACTTTATACTTCAAGATCAAAACTTCAGTTATTATATAATCAGTACTAGAAATGAATATAATATTTTTCCCCTAATTAAATAAATGTTAGGGTTCACCTTTCCCTTGATTCCGGAAGCTTCGGGTGAATCGTAGGCTATAAACCAATGCGGGCTCGGGTCGGGTTTACGGCGATGATTACACCGCGTAGATAAATATAACACGTTGGAAAAATAAACAACACATTTGTTCAAAATTGACTCCCAGTCCGACGACCGCGGGCGGGATTTATACTTTTCTGGAGCCGTCCAGTTTACATTTTTACGTTTCGAGCTTTCTACTTTTGAGTCAATAGAATGTCCAAACTGCATAGTGCATACCAATTGATCATTTTATCCCCAACTTTGACTCTAAAGTAGTTTAGAGCGGGTGATGTCCTTAAAAACAAATAGATCACTATATTATATAGTACTTTTTTTTAAGGTGAATACGATTGATTGAGATGATCAAAATTGATACAGTATTAATTTATGGGTTGAATAATATTGCATAACAAATTTGAAAGTGCGAAGTACGATACTATACTCCAACCTCCTTGCTCAAGGCTCAACCTATAACTTCCATAGTTGAAAGAAGTTTAAACCTCAAGAAACATATATAATTTTTTTGGTATTGATATAGTACATACACTGGAATATGAAGGTCGACGTGTAAATACATGTTCAGTGCGTATAATTGTATTAGTTTGCTTGTTATTAATTTAAGCGTTTGGGCTCGAGTATAAGTGACAGTAGGTCAGAGGGTCCCGAGCTGATGGGGGTTAGGTGAAAATGTCCCGAAAAAAGTCCCTTCTTCTAGTATTTAATGTGCTATTTATATGGGATGTGAGAAAACACAAGCGGAGCTCTAGGCATGGCTGACACATGTTGCGCATGCAGTCGGCGAGCTCGGTAGCAGTGCAGTACAGTGACGTCCACATGTCGCGATGTTCCTGACTTGCCACTAGGTCACGTAATCGGATTGAGGTCAATAATCTATGTTTATTCTCCAAGTGAACTTGGTCGGTGGGGCCGTCCCGACTTAAATAGGTGGGGTGGGTAATTTAGGCAGGACAAAGACTACTGCTAGTTAAGCATTTGCTCGATCTTCACACTTAGGTCAGATTGGTCAGTCTTAAGGTTAGTCGTGGTCGGAAACAGTCCTCACGATGACTTGACTTAATATCGAGCAGGTTTGCAGTACGTATGGGTAGGTATATCTGGAAAATATTTCATATCATGTATTCCCTATCATATATTTTTGTACTATTCATTGCAATTTGATATATGACGTGTATCATTACCTCGTTTTGCATAATTGTAATATTCTAACATCTTGTATTCTATAAATAGTACACTGTACGTCCCAAAAAGGGTCAATACTTAGCAAAACTAAATACATATTGTTCTTATGTACAACTCCAAGTTGCCAAGAATTTCATTCACTCTTATTACTCCATTTTGTGTTATTTATCCTTTACTTTCAATGGTTAGCGAGTTAGTCTATAACCAATGTTGGGGCTATAGTGCTTAAATGGATAATTCTACCTTTACTCTCAAATTATACTTTCATTTTGTACTCCCTGTGACATAACATGCCTTGATTGCTTAATTTAGTAGGAGGCAATAATGTTTATCCGTTCTTTTTTTTTTCTTCTTCTTCTTTTTCCAATCAAATTTGAACACAAGTGAAAGTACAAATTGAGAATATAATTTTGAGAGTACATCTAGTATTTTATCTAGTATTTTTGTACTTAAATTTACACTGCTGTATTTAATTTGTATGATGGGATATCTTGACCATGAAGACTCTCCATGGGTCATATATCTTGCCAATAAGTCACCAGTCAATGCAGTCAAGTCTAAAGGGATGAGTAATTTAATCCCTATGGTTCAAATGGGATTTGAGATGTATGGTTGTAAAGGGATGTAAGAGTGATTAGAAAAGATTTATTTACAATTAGCTGTAAAAGGAGTGATCAAGTAAATGAAACATGAAGGTTATACGTCTGATTCTTGCAAATTTGACCAAGTTTGTCACACATGGTCCTGTGTAGTTTGTGGGTTATAATATAAGGTGGGATTACCAAATAGTGATTGTGAGTTTCTCTCGTCACTAAAAAAAATTAAAGTTCTTTACAACTAAAAAGAGGAAACTAAGAGAGATTTGAAGGAAACAAAATTTCCCAGAGAAACCAATTGCATTGTGGTGGATGTCTAACCAAAAACTGTATAGTATTCATCTGATCTGTTTCTTTTTCATCTTCTTCTTTCTGTCTTTCACTGCAGAAGTTGCAGTGTGCCAGAACACAACTAAAAAGAGGAAACTTAGAAAGATTTAAAGATAAGGGAAAAAAAAGTTTCCTAGAGTAACCAAATGTCTCTGTCTCTTTCTTTTCCATCATCTTCTTTCTGTCTTTCTCTGCAGAAGCTATCTGCAGAATGCCAGAAAACAACTAAAAACAGGAAACTAAGAAACATAAATATGAAGGGGGAAACAAAATCTCCCACTGAATGGTTACGTGCTGAAATCCAGGACGATAGACGAATAATGCTGGCCTGGCCTCCTAACTCTATCACCCAGCAGCCGATATATAATCCTTGTGGCGGGGTACGTAGTTTGAAACATTTATTAGTAATTGGTGTCTGCTCCTTTCTGCAGGCTTAGCTTGCTAATAGAAGCTGTCAGTCTGCACGAGGTAATAAGAAACTAAAGCCTGCGTTTTCGCAAATGAGAGGTGGTGGTTCTATGTCTGAAATGTCCATCGGTTCCAATGACTTGGATAGATCATCCACTGAGAATGGTATGCTGCAAACACACCCAACAAGGCATCAGTAGTCATCTCAGGACGGGATTTTGCATAAAAGGCGGGCGTAAAGGAAATGGCTATGTCTCAAATCCAACCTCGAATCATCATCTAGCAGAAAAGAACGGCTGACATGATTGTTTGAATCTTCTGTCATTAGCACAATCATATCGGATATAACCTGTCAAAACAAACCAAGAATCTTCTTGAAGCTCAGGGTGTAATCTTCTTGAAGCTCAGGGTGTACTCTAACAGTCTCGCCATTTAATGAAGCAAACAAATCATAATATACCTTTGGGCAATTATATAAGCAGGCAGGGGTCGATATGTAGAGCTTTGAAGTTACAAATTCAGGAAGATAAAAAAAAAAAAAAGAAAAGAGGCAAATTAATAAGGTCTTACTTCAGGGGAAAGACTGTGAGTGCCATATTCGTCGTCATGGTACATTGAGCTGATTCTGTACAGCTGTTGTATGCTAAGCACCTACAAGTGATGACATGTAAGAACAAGATAAATCTCGAACTTGAGCACGTTGTTTGGAGGACGATGTACAGGCAAAATATACTTACAGGGCATAAATCGTGGCTTATCTCATCCAGTGTCTTCATCGGTTTCTCATGTATGAGCTAACATAGTAACAAAAAGGATCACATCTCACAGGCGTGTGATTTACAACATATGAGCTGGGGTAAGTAAAACGGTATGTTTCCATTTCAATCTTAAATTACTCTATTATGCGAGGATTAGGGGTAAAAAGAAAGTGCTTCACCAGAAATCCTATGGCCTGTCTTATATGTTTGAGCTCTTCCAATGCAGACCCTGCATACTGTCAAACATATTTTCTTATTTGAGAGAAATTCACCGGTAACCGATTAAACAAAGTGATCTCGAATTCTAGACACATGACTAGAAAAGATCAGAGTTATTACCTCATCGGTTGCTTTATTGCACCAAAATTCAAGTTCAGCAAGCCCGGCCATGACATACTCACCGTGGCTAAATGCGCAGCATTCTCGTCTTATCAAGAGACTACAACCACGAGAGATGATAGAATAACTAATCAGCAATAGATATAGATGGTGAATCAAAAGTCTGAAATATAATGGACCTGTTGAAAAATTGGACATTGATGAAGAAGAAAACTTGTGTAAAAACTTTACGAACTAGAAACGGAGGCACCTGAAATATGGTGATCGAGCAAATGTAAATTGCATAGATCGAGGTAATAACAATAACTCATCCATAAGCTAAGTTTAATTCAGAAGGAATCCCACCCAACTATTACAGCAATAGCTGACAAACCTTAGCTTTTAACAAAACTTTATAATCAACTTTGGAATGGCAACAAGTATTAAGGTTGTAGAATAGAGAGAGTGATGATATGAACTTATATATACATAAAACAAGAGAGGCATTGATCAAGTTAAAAAGGCAAGGAAGAGAAAGAGTAGAGCATAAAAGAAACCCCAACAGGCTAGATAAAGTTGTTACGTGATTGGCTTTCAACATGAACAAAAAATTTGCAAGGCTTTTGACAATTTCTTCCCAGTGTTTATTAAGAATTTCTTGAGTCGCGGCCTTTGCAAGGTAAGCTGCAGGTCCTTTAATCACGCTTGCTCTGGCTATCCTTGGGGCCTGCTAGTTCAATCATATCATTAGAGTATGTCCATGATCGAATAGGTTGAGATCGATGGAGCTAATGCCCGATATTCATACTAGTTTTTATTGATTAACAAAAATATGCAAGAACAAACCTGAATGCATAATCCAAGTGATGGAAAAATCTGTTTCTTCAAATTATTACGGATCATTCCATAAATCTTTTCCACATAAGCTGTCAGCTTCTGCTTGAACAGAAGTGCAGGATATTTGGCTTCACCGTCAAGATTGAGCCCTTGAAGCAGAAGCAACAAAGTTGATGCATTGGACAACCAATAAGCTAAGATTTCATTGTTATCCTGAGTCTTCAATTCCGCGTATTAAATCAATCAGATTCAGCTTTAATTTGCATCATATATTAATTTATTATTATATTTACTCTTGTAACTCCTACCTCAATAGCTTGGCCGATGGTTTCTATTATCCTGTCACAGATGCTGCTCCCTTCAACTTCAAATGACCGCCACTGCATAAGACATTTGTAGATAATGCAAGCAGCAATCGGTCTGCCCTTAGAGAAGCCCAGATTCTGTGCAGCAATTAAACCTACCAGTCGCTCCTCCAAATTGTAAGTCTCCATTAGTCCCATTTTAGAGTCTTGATAGATCCAAGTATATGTGTCTAAACAACCTACAAAGCCCCGATCATTTGTTCTTATAAATTTGGAGTCTTGGTAGAAGGAGGCAAATTGTGGGGATGTGTATCAACCAGGCAAATTGTGGGGTGTGTCATGTATGCCAACATCCTACAAATTCTCTAAAACTCCCTTTGAATTAGTCAACTAGATGAATTTAGAGCATCCCTATTCTCTACCCGGAGATAATATTAAGAGAATGGCAAATGAAATAATTTGGGTGGGCCAAACACCTTGTGCACAGATGGCATCCGGGTTGAACTTCTTTATGTGAAGTTATGCGTTCAAGTCTTAGTGTAGTCTTATTAGTTCTTAGTGTACATTATTTGTTGCACTTGTAATTGATTTTACTTGTACTATATAAAACTGTTACTTACACTTTTAATACAATTTACTTGCACTTTGATGTTTAATTATTTACGAAAATGTTACTGTATTTTTTTTAAACAATATTTATGATCCGTTAAATTTGTACATGTAGACAAACGTAATCAAATATGAGTGGTTTTTAATTTATATATTTAGTAATTTGTCTTTTTATCAAATTGTTATTTTTTTTTTGTCAAATTGACAAAGCAATCTTATTAAATTTGTATGGTAATTCTCTTAAAAATTCAATTTATCAAAATTTGTAAATATTTTTTTTATTGAACCTGTACATAAGGAAAGAGACGTGACGAACATTATAACATAGAAAAACAGGAAAGTTAAAAGAAGACAACTAATATGAAAATTTTGAAATTATATTTATTCATTTAATAGGAATGATTAAGTTGAAAATGAATATCATCATATATTAAAAATCCAATTGAAATTCATAAAAAATTTAAGGTTAAGTAAAAAATCAAATTAAAATATCGGCATCAAAGAAAAATTATAATCTAAACTTTACTAGATTTGCACGCAATAATCTTGAAATGGATAATTGGATATAGAAAATAAAGTATAACCCGAAGGCATAAACCGACGTGTTTGGAGGGGGATGGGCGGAAAGGCAAGTTAGTTTTCAGTTTTCTTGGACTGGTTTGTGGAGTTCGTGCCTTGTTGGTATTCGGTTAATTGCCTGACAGAAAGACCAACCATGATTGATGAGGTAAAATCCCTTCTAGAAACTCTTAGTGCGCGCGCTTTGGTGGTTGATTGAATGATTGAGCTTTACTGTTGATTGATGGCAGGAAGAGGTGTCACAGCTTGATTACTCTCAGGATGTTGAAGACAATGGAGCTTATTACACGGTGGATGAAGCACTGTCGGCGGCCGGGTTCGGGAAATTTCAGTTCTTGGTGCTTGCTTATGCGGGGCTCGGTGCGGTGGTGGACGCAATGGAGGTGATGATCCTCTCCTTCATTGGCCCCTCCGTGAAGTCCGTCTGGGGACTTTCATCTGCCCAGGAAAGTCTCATCACCACTGTTGTTTTCGCCGGCATGTTAGTCGGAGCTTATTTCTGGGGCATCGTTGCTGATAACTGTGGAAGAAGGCTAGCTTCCTCTTTACTCTGATTTTACTTTCCCTCTTGTTGTGCTTTACTTCAGTGGCTTATTTATAAACTGGCAATTGCAATTAGTATTTCTTTGGGATGAGGGCAACCCCATCTAAGTTGGTCGGTTAGTTTACTTGGTAACCACAAGTTCCAAGTTCTTGGCTCCTTGTAGGAGCTGCCTATTGGCCTCGGTTTGATCTGGTCAGCTATGTGTAACCTAGACTTGTTTATCTCTTTGTGATCCTTCTGCCAATCCTCACTGCGAGCTTTCAAAATATTTGTTAGAGATTATCTAGTACTTAGTTGTAATGATTACGTATGAGAAAGCTTTGCAAGATTAGGAGAAATGTGCCATCCTAAAAGATAGCCTCCATGCCAGTACCTGAGTCTATGTTACTGGGATTATTTGCCATCCATTTAACTTGCTAAATATTTTACCAAGGTTATCATATGCTAATTTTGATTATTATTAAGCATTCTGTTATTGTAAGAGGTGCCCCTTATTATCAGGTACGTACATAATCATAATTAACATAATATACAGAATTCAGTGTCAGAAAGAATGTAGATAGTGTTTAATTGTTCAACTCTCTACACTGCTAATGTACTGAGCGCTCCAGCACATTATGGAGTCTACATTGAGCTTATTATTGTGAAGTATGCCCATGAGTTGATTGAATGTTGCATTGTTTCCTTTTCCTACCCATATCATATTAGTTGGCTTTATTGGGTATTCTGAGAATAAACTTCCACCATTATCACTTTTTGACTATGAATAGAATATTTGGGTTGACATTAACTCAGCTTCTTTTAGTTACAGTATAAAATTTCATTATTGTTTCATCTAGTGCACTTTCAATGATGATTATTACATTTCCATCATATTTTATGTGTCAAAAAAAAATATTTCCTTATTTTGTTTGGTTTTACATTTGTCTTTGTCATTTTTGTACAGCACTTAAACTGTTTCTTTTCTTTCATTGCCATCCAGGAAGGGCCTTTTGAGTGTAGCAGTCGTGACAACTGTAACTGCATTTTTAAGTGCCTTTTCCCCAAATTATATATCTTTGCTTGTCCTTCGTATGTTGGTTGGCACTGGCCTGGCCGGTGGGCCTGTGTACTCCTCTTGGTTTCTTGAATTTGTACCTCCAGAAAACCGGGGGTTATGGATGGTTATCTTCTCAACTTTCTGGACAGTTGGAACAGTACTAGAGGCTTTGTTGGCATGGGTATGCCCCTTGACCCTTGTGCATTTGACAGTATGCTTCCATGATTTTTGTACTTCTTCAGCAACATTTAAATAGTTCAGAGCATCCATATTTCATGGTCATTATATTCTTGTTTTCTCTGTTTATTTCCAGTCTGCATAAGTAGGCTACAAATTGGGAGGAAACCGGTGTCTTCACTTGCTTCAGAAACCATATTCTTTTACACAAATTAAATGGAATACATGGTTTTGATGTGTACTGGGATCACCCCCCCCCCCCCCTCCCCCCGGTGTATTGCACACCTTTTTGATTAATTCACTTATTCGTTTGCTTTCAAAAACAAAATGGAATCCATGGTTTTCATGTGTGCACTTAGCTGAATTCTCTTGTTTATTACTTCCATGCCCTAGTTAACAAACGTTATGCCTATTGCTTTATTCTTTGTGTAGATCGTTATGCCAAAATTGGGTTGGAGGTGGTTGCTTGGTCTATCATCAGTACCATGTTTCGCGACGCTTGCCTTTTATGGTTGGACAATAGAATCTCCTAGGTATTTATGTACCAAAGGCAGAGTAAAAGATGCTTATAATGTCTTGAAGAAAGTAGCTGCAGTCAATCAGACAGAACTTCCCTTCGGAATGCTTGTTTGTGACAACGTGCCTGAGGCCAATGAAGAATTACTTTCCAGGCATAGAAACAAATTTGCTAATTACAAAGCGGCCTTTTCTTCTCTATTTCCTCTATTTTCATCTAGATTAATAAGAACTACCCTTCTTATTTGGGTAGTTTATTTTGGAAATTCATTTTTGTATTATGGCGTTATATTGTTGACTTCAGAGCTTAGCAGCGACGAAGCTAAATGCATATCAACTACTCCAAACTTGAACGATGACTATAGCCTTTACAGAGATTCCTTCATCACCAGTCTAGCAGGTTCCCCCGATTTGTTTCACCTTCGTCTGTTCCTTCTCGGATTTAATGCCAATACAATCTTTGTTGCTTATTTTGTTCATTTCCTCCTTGCAGAGCTTCCTGGTCTTGTCTTATCAGCTGTCCTAGTGGACAAGGCTGGCCGTAAAATGTCATTGGTACTTATGTACGGAGCAGGCTTCCTATTTCTCTTGCCACTCGTTATCCATGAGCACGAGTTTTTAACTACAGGTTTATTATTCGGAGCTCGTATGTGCTTTATTGGAACATTCACTGTCGCTGGCATCTATTGCCCCGAGGTAAAGCGCAAATCCCTTGCCATCTCATGGCAATTCGGTTCTTTCTTCCTTCAATCTTTCCCCGATACCTCCAGAGTTCATTTTGTATGCATTCAGCTTTCTGGAATCGACACAGTTTTGCAGTTAAAAAATGCAAGAACGTCACGCTTTTATTTTTCTTTCGTGCAGATTTATCCAACCTCTGTAAGAACAACCGGGGTTGGAGTTGCGAGCGCTGTTGGGCGCATCGCAGGCATGATCTGCCCGGTTGTCACGGTGCAATTCATCAGTGGCTGTGAAATGACTGCTGCAATACTTCTATTCGAGGCTGTAGCAATTCTTTCGGGAGTAGGAGCTTTGCTTTTCCCACTGGAAACCAAGGGCCGGAAGCTAACTGATATTGTTTCTTCATGAAAGTTTTCTATGGATATTGTTTAATGAAAGGTACTTTTAGTATATACTTGAACTTGAGTAGCTGTAACAAATCACAAACAAAAGGCTCAACAAATTCCAACCATTTTATGGGTTGCATTGCTCTGGAGTATTAAATCATGCTCTGATTTTAAAAGTGGGTACAACTGTTATGCTCTTGAGAAATATTGATCACACAAGGATTCTGTAATGGTACAAGGTTAATTGTTACAAGATTGGTGAATCACGTTTTAGAAGCCTAGATCTTGTGTGGAACCAATGCAGGAACAAATGTTTTAATTCTCATAATATCTTTAACATTGATCTAAGATTGCCTTTCAAATTGCAACGAAAGCAATTTCCTTTGATGCTCTCTTATGCCATGATAATAAATAAAAGTCAAGGGCAAATACTCTCAAACGTTGTTTTTGAAAAGGCCAGTTTTTAACCATGGCCAACAACTGCACATAGGGATTTAGTAATCCTAGGGTTTAAAAATTTTTATTTGTGGCGAAAATGTACCATTTTAAAGTACCACTAACAAATTAAAAAGTAAAAATATTGTGTACAAAGAAGTTTTCAATAATGTGTAATAAAATTGCAATCTTTATCGTTTCAAAATTATTAAGTTTTTTAGCCATTATATTCTCGTTGCGCCTCAATGGGGAGTTTATACCTACGACTAAAAATGTCGAATATAAAGAAATCTTCAATAATTTGTAATTTTTTAATCCTTTTGATATTTATTAATGTAGCTAATTTATTTTAATTTCAATCATATTTCTATAATTAGACTTATATTATATTAGTTTAATATTATGTTGATGCTAAGTTTTTGTCCACTCATCCGGGTACGAATACTAGTATTGACAATAGTGGTTAGATTACCAGAGTCTTCATCATCATATTTCCCCACCGATTATGGTTGCATGTATGTATGTACCCTATATAAAACTAAATAAATTGTTTATGTTACTAACAGAAAATGCAAGAATTTCTACAGGAAAAATAGAAATATGAATCTTACCTGTTCGATTCCTTGCTCTTGCTTGTAGACCCTCTTCGCAGTTCAGGTACTTCGTAAGTTCAGACCAGTCGGACTCTTATTGCTCTCCGAAGAGGAGTAACCTGAGAGGCAAAAATGTATTATGAGGACACTTTTGCAATAGATTTTGTATGTGGTGTTCAATCTCAGTTTACACCAAAATAGTACATTTTCAAATGTATATGTTTAGTCTTTAGATTAAATAGTAATTATTATTTACATTGGAGATAGAGTTAATCAGGCGGGTGGGGAGATTAAAAAAAAAAAAAAAAAAAACTCCCTGCAGAGCATATGTTTTAATCGGATGTGTAGCACCCGGCAAATTATATTATGCACGCGTCTTTTTTTTTTTAAAATGAAAATAAACAGTGTTTGTTTCCGTCGTTTCGCACCCTTTTGCAAAAAGTAACTCTGTTATTCAGTGTCATTTTGTATACACTGCAGTTTCAGTTGAACACAACTACAGTTTTATTTCGATATAACTATAGTTTCATTCGATATTTATAGACTCAAATATGTGAAAATGTTATTTAATTTTATTTTATATACACTATAGTTTCATTAAAACACAACTACATGATCATTTTGATATAATTACAGCTTCATTGTACAATATACACTCAAATATGTGAAATGTTATTCAGTTTCAGTTCATATACACTGCAGTTTCATTTCACTATAACTACAGTATCATTTTGATATAACTGCAGTGTCGGTTTGGATATACTGTAGTGTCAATTAGTGTTTAATACACCAAACAAACGGACTTCGTTAACTCTAACGGCAGACCGTTTCTTTAAGTAAAGAAACGGCGTCGTTTTTTACCGCGGTGCAAATATAACGACTTGTAGCACCCACCGAGAAAAACAGATTTTTGCGCCAATTTCCCGTGAAGCGCAACACAGGCACACAGCGCTCAGTCGGCGCATAGTGCATTAATGTCGTTTTTCTCCTTTTTTTTTACCTTTTCTCTTTCTTAAATTTTAAGTCAAAAACTTTAATTATTGCGGAAGTTATTATTATCTCTCATGTTCGGTGGTGCCAGACTAGGGAAATCAGCACGTGACACGTGTTGAGTGGCAATGCGCGAGTACTTTGAGGACGTGGGACAAGTAAGAAGCTAATAGCCTCACGTACTGATAAAGTGATAAGTGATAACCTACCGGATATGATATGATCGAAAAAAAGGACAATTTAATAAATTATGTAGTCTCCCAATAAAGTCAGTATTTTAGAAAATAATGACTCCGTATAATACATAGAGTCTCAAATTTTACATTCTAAATTTTATTTTTTAATGTAGTCAATATTGATAAGCTATTTTTTATGTGAATCCTAATATAAGTATCTATATCAAGATTTTATGTGTGAAAGTAAAAATTGAGAGTAAAAAAAATGAGAGTACACATAATATTTTTCTTTAGATTGAAAACAACGCATGAAACCGTGGAGGCAATTGTTATACAGTGGACCATGATCCATAATGCTGTGGACCATGATTGTCAAATGAAACTGTAGTAAACTTAAAATGATACTTTAGTGTTGTTAAAATGAAACTAGTATGTGTGAAAAATGAAATTAAAAAACAAAGCTCATTCAACAATGTATATTGTCAAATGAAACTGTAGTATAATTAAAAAGATACTTTAATGTTATTAAAATAAAACTAGTGTGTGTGAAAAATGAAACTAAAATCTAGAACCATACAATAAAATTGTCAAATGAGCATGGAGTGTAATTAAAACAATACTTTAGCATTATTATAATTAAACTAGTGTGTGAAAAATGAAACTATAAAATAAAGCTCATATAATAATGTATATTGTCAAATTAAACTGTAGTAGAATTAAAACGATACTTTGGTATTGCTATAATGAAACTAATGAGTGTGAAAAATTAAACTGAAAAACAAAATAATGTTATCAAATGAAACTAAAGTATAATTAGAATAATACTTACATTATGAACCACATTACTATAGAGACCATGATCCACGTAAAATTTGCACCACAAAATTTTTGTTGTGACTATGAGCCTGAAGGTACACTCTTCGTTGTTTTTGCGTCACACAATTTTTTAAAATCCAAAACGAGTTCTGAAATTTAAATGCGTCCATTCAATCAATTTCGTACTAAATTAAATTTTCATTTCATTGAAAATTCTCACCAAACCAAAATACAATTTGTTACAAAATATAATTAACATTAGATTTAAAGCTTCAAAAGGGTGATCGAATGAGTAGAATATGATTCTCGTATCAAAAGATCATTATTCAAAATCCTAGTACATAATTTTTTTTTTTAAATATAATTTAGGTTTTCAAATTTTGTTGAACTACATCATGAATCTCAACTAGCACATGTGATTTGCATGCTATTACGTAGAAGTCAATGGTGGAGTCGAGTTGATCCTCAAGTAGTGTATTAGTTGCGTTTTCTTTTTTCTTTGAATACGTACTACTGACTCTTACAATATATTATATGTTTATATCTACTTTTTGAAAGTGGATAAGCACAAAAAGTCAATATCATCCTCACTATGACTTAAACCCATGATCTTTCATTTGAAAGAATCACTTCATGCCACTAAACCACAAGATCATGGACTAAATTAACCAAAATTATATATATATATATATATATATATATATATATATATATTATACATTACTAATTACTAGTTGAGGTGTAAAATTTGAATTGTTTAATCGAATTAACCAATTTTTCTTTTAAAAAAGTTTTACAATCCATTTGATTCGCTGAAAAATATTTGAAGGAAAATATAATTGAAATTCCAGAAAAATGAATTACATTGTTTGGTTGGTGGAAAAGAAATTACTCGAAATATGAAATCTATTGTTTGATTGAGTTTGAAATTATAAAGAATAATAAGTATAAAGACAACTATACAACTACACAATAATAGTGGTAATTAAGAATAGTTGGTGATATAATTATTCTACTTATTTTCGATGAAAAATATTTTTCATAAAAAATAAAATACTAAGAAGGGCCATGAAAAATATCTTATATGAACCAAATTAAAAAAAAAAAAAATCAATTTTCTTCAAATTCAAAGAAAACATTTTTTTTTAATACTAGCCAATAACGCCTGAGACTCAATCCCACAACATTCTTTGTAAAGAAGCAACTTTGAGCAATTTATGCCCAGCGGCGGAGCCAGAAAGTTAGGGTTGGGAGGCCAAATTTATAGAAGAAATTTATCAACTGAGTCGGTATTAGTACCAACCTCACAATGTGAGCATATAGCCATTAACGTGCAATCCAACTAGAAGCTTAGGCTTTTAGGTGAGATGGAGCACATGCTTCAATTTGGTATCAGAATCAGACCAAAGGTCATGTGTTCGAATCTCAATGCCACTCGTAAGCGACTACGGTTTACCGGTCCACGTGTTGCTTGGAACCCACCGCACACGTGAGGGGGCGTATAGCCATTAACGTGCAATCCAACTAGAAGCTTAGGCTTTTAGTTGAGATGGAGCACATGCTTCAATTCACAATATTATTATATAAATACCATATATGATTGTGCCAATTATTATTGATAATTATTTTTAATTATACTATGTGCAATAATATATGAAATATATAATTATATGAGTACGATCGTTAAGATTGTCAAACATTATTTTTGAATTTTTTACATAACACAAAAATTATACAATAGTAAAAAATAGGAAAAATTACACTTTTAATCACTAAGTTATAGGGTAATTGAAGAATTCATAATTATTTGTCGTGCTTACTTTTCGTCCCTAAAATATACTCTGTAATTTATGTTGCAAATTTCATTCCTTTACTAACAAAACATTAGGAACGATGTATAGCTTAGAAAGGAATAGTGACCACAACATGTTATTAAAATGATGAAATTTGCAACGTCAATTATAGCTTAGTGAACAAGATCAACAATTATGGACAAATTCTACAATTATTCCATAACTTAGAAACGAAAAGTATAACTTTTGAATACATTTAATATATACATAATAGATTATTTGTTTTAAAAAAAATTAAGAGGGAGGCCAAAAGTGTAATTTATTCATATTATAATAATATATACTTATATATCTACTAAAAATGGGGATAGGGTGGGAGAAGTCAGGGCCCCTTACGCCCTTACCCCAAGGGATGGCTTCGCCCTGTTTGTGTCATTAAATTACAAAATCCTTGACCATTCCAGGGAACTAAATAGACCCTTAATGGTCAACTTAAATAAAGCAATTGACTTATCAACGAGGAATTTAATTTGTAAAAGGAATAACATTGAGTGAGAAGGACAAGCACGTAACTAATAAGTAGTGAGGATTATGTGCTGTTCAAATCAAGCAGCGCCACGTAGGGGAAGTGTCGTGAGAACTGAGAAGCTGCTTAATCATGTGATTAGCGGAAGCATTTTGGGAGCAAATCCATATTTTTCAACATACAATCATAACATTTACGGAGTATTATTATTATTATTAATTAGTTAATTAAACAATCACCTAATCATCGGCCATGGAAATACTTATAAGAAGAATACTCGTATACTACTTCTTTGGACTATCTATCACTGAGACACTGACTGCTTCCTATTCTCGCGCTTCTCTTGTCAGATGCTACAACTATCATACCAAACGTTTTCAGCATGATTGATGTGGTAATGTTCTTCGTGTTAGTAGATGATGATAGTAATGGTTGATTTGCTTGATTGAGTTTTTGCGGTGTTGTTGATGTACAGGAGGATGTGGTGCCGCCGCAGAATTACGGACTGGGAGGAGACGATGCCGGCGTTTACTACTCGATCGACGAGGCGCTTTCCGCGGCGGAGTTTGGGAGGTTCCAGTATTGGGTGCTTGCATATGCAGGGCTGGGCTACCTTGTGGACGCCATGGAAGTGATGCTTCTGTCGTTTATTGGCCCCTCTGTTAAGGTCCTCTGGGGACTTTCCGCCGCCGAGGAAGGCTTAATCACCACCGTCGTCTTCGCCGGCATGCTCATCGGAGCTTATTCCTGGGGCCTCCTCTCCGATAATTTCGGAAGAAGGCTAGCTTTCCGCTTTTCATATACTCGTCTTTATCTTTATGCGTTTTTGCTTTACTTGAGTAGCTAGCTAATTGCTTGTTTGATCTATGAACCAGTAAGATGCTTATACAGTCACACTAAAATATAGATGCTCTAATCATCATTTGCATCCTGTATGTATGTATGTATATCTGATCTGCAACAATGGTTTTGGATCTGAGAGAAACCATTAGTGAGTTGGTAGTGTTAAATAGATAAACTGGTTTGCCCTAATACAATAAGTCTATATCTAAATGTGTGACCAAGGTTTTTATATACTGAACAATGAGAATGATTAAGAAGTATGATAGAAAAAGTGCTTCACCTTATTCTCAAGTACACAATAAACTGAATATACAAATTAAGTCTGTTTGTAAACAAGGTAGATGACATTTCATTACATTTTTGTCTTGTTTTACAGGATAATGTTTACTTAATTTGTTTGGTACCTAACATTAACAATGGTTTACTTTCATTTGGCATACAGGAAGGCTATGCTGAGTATAGCAACTGTGACTACCATATGTGCTATTTTAAGCTCCTTTTCCCCGAATTATACATCCTTGCTCGTTTTTCGCGCATTGGTTGGTACTGGCCTGGGTGGCGGGCCTGTATACTTGTGTTGGTTTCTTGAGTTTGTACCTCCAAAAAACCGCGGCTTCTGGATGGTTATCTTTTCAACTTTCTGGACAATTGGGACAATTCTTGAGGCTATTTTGGCATGGGTATGTGTACCGGATAGCCAGTATTTACATAGATCTTGTGCTTAATGCAACTCTGAGCAATCTGCCTGAGGTTTTTTTTGGTGCTTGATAACTTCTGATTCACATTGAACTTATAATATAAGTGTTCCCTGTCTCCAACCCATGTGTGATAAAGCTTATACAGCTGCCTCTCTTAGAAACTCAGCTAAGATGAGTGCGATCATGGGCTTTTTCAGTTTCTAAGTTATTTGGTATCTCTTATTTTGGTTAATGATGTATCGTAATCTAGGCTTGATTTCTTGTCCCTGTTCCATTTTTGGTTCTTAAGTAGTGAAGTATGCATGTATCTATTACTGTACATGCATATCCTGGTGAATAAAGCTTATGCACCTGCTTTAATATTTGTTGTAGGTTGTTATGCCAGCATTGGGTTGGAGGTGGTTGCTTGTACTGTCATCCTTACCATCTTTTGCAGTAGTTGCCTTTTATGGGTTGTCGGTAGAATCTCCTAGGTATTTATGTACCATTGGTAGGATAAAAGATGCTCATAGCATTTTACAAAAGATAGCTGAAGTGAATCAGACAAAACTTCCGGTTGGAATGCTTGTTTGTGAGCAAATGACTGTGGTCAATCAAGAAGCATTATTACCCACGCAAAACAACAGCTATGCTAGATATAAAGCCGGATTTTCATCTCTGTTTTCAATTTGTTCATCCAGTTTGATAGGAACTACCCTTGTCATATGGGTGCAATATTTTGGGAATGCATTTCTATATTATGGGGTTGTTCTGATGACCTCAGAGCTTAGCAGCGACCAAACTAGCTGCATCTCAACTATTTCAGACTCAAATGACGGGTCTAGCCTCTATAGAGATGTCTTTTTCACCAGTCTAGCGGGTATGCTGGGATTGTGTTTTGTTGGTTTCTGTTTGAATACCTCATGCCATCTGCTTGCTTATCTCATCTAACCTTTCTCGTGTTTCAGTTGCAGTTAATTGCAAAGCGGTGTTGGCCACTTTCAGTTTCTTTTTTTCTTGTTTATTTTTTAATGAGAAGTTTTTGTATGCAGAGGTTCCTGGTCTTATTTTAGCAGCAGTCCTTGTGGACAAAATAGGTCGAAAATTCTCAATGATGTTTATGTATGCATTGGGCTTCCTATTTCTTTTACCACTTGTTTTACATCAGGATGAGGCTTTAACTACTCTCTTATTATCTGGAGCTCGCATGTGTTGTCTTGGAACATTCACAATTACTGTTATATTTTGTCCTGAGGTAATGATTTTATTTTGATAGTAATGCCTTTTTTTCTGATATGAAAAGTTAAGTACTTGAACTCATTTGGTTGCGGTGGTTGAAGCAACCAACTCCATCCATCCCCGCTACATTAGCATAGAGTACCAATCCGAGTGCATGTAACCATACTCATGCTACATTTTCACTGGCTTTACACGAATATCAATAAACAGTGTTTATTTTGTTTTCTTGTCTACTGCAGATATATCCTACCTCCGTCAGGACAACTGGTGCTGGAGTTGCCAACTCCGTTGGACGAATTGCGGGCATGATCTGTCCTATTGTTGCTGTTCAATTTGTTTCGGGGTGTGAAATAATGGCTGCCATAATTTTATTTGAGGTTATAGCAGTTGTTTTAGGACTTAGTGTTCTGCTTTTCCCCACGGAAACCAAGGGCCAGCAACTTAGTGATGCGGTGGTTGCTTCATGAACATTTGTTTCCGACTATTGAAACGAAAAACTACTACGTGCTACGCTTCTCAGTATTCTTAATAAAATATTTATTCGCATATTGCTGCCTGCCTGTTTTCCATACGCATATTTGTTTTTCAAATTCTGCCATTCTGGACCTTTTCAGTGATAGAATAAGGGAAAGAGAAAGAAAGACTCAGATTATGATCAAAATAAATAGAGGGCACTAGAAAGAAAAAAAAAAACACTGTTTTGGAATCAAAATTTTTCCTGCAGTCAGAGTTGGGCTTTGTCACAAGTTGCCAGTTATAGCCATTTATGATAACTAACTAATTCTCAGCATAGGAAGAAAAACTTCAGTTGATCTTAGGCTTCTGTCTTCTTGGCCTCAAAACAAACCACAGAATGGAGACAACGACCAGAAAGGCAGGTATGGTTGTCATGTCAAACTCAACATCAACTTTCCGGTTCCTTGTGCAATGAATTGGATGGAGACTGGCAAGAGTGGCATTTACATATTCAGCAAACCTGCAAAATGCAAGCACTTTCTTAATGAACAAAGCAAGAGAACAGAATGTATATGTGGAATTTCCAGTGATTATGAATTGATCTATAAAGTACAAGGCTGGGGGAGGACAGACTACATATTTACATCATATAGCTCTATAGCTTCAAATTCATTCATGTTCAGGGACCAAAAAACACTGAAAATTTTATTGAATACTGGTCTTCTTCACAAAAATTGGTCACATATCAGTAAATACAAGCAGAGAGAAGCTAACCCTTTTGATGCATCCTCTAGGGTGTGCACAAGTGCCAATGCATCTGTATATCGAAGTTCCCCTGAAACACTTGAAATCTGAAAAGAGACTCAAATCATGAGTATAACCATGAGCAAGAGAGAGAGAGATCCATACTGTGTACCAAATACCAGCAAACATGAAAGGCCATGAAACATGATAATATGAATCAGAAGAAAATGGCATTTTACCCAAAAGATTTTTCACATAACCAATAGATGTGTTTAGAGGATGCCTTGGAATTTATTTATAAGCTCTTGTAGCACCATCTAGTTTCATATTTGCAACGAAGCGGGAGTATGGGAACATGAAAATTTTTAATTGCATTCTATATACGGCTATATGCAACACTAGAGTATGCAGAACCGTAAAACTCTCCAGTGTGGAAAAGAATGCTAAAATTGTGCTTCGCTTACCCTTCTCCACAAGCTGACAACATAATTGTATTTGTTCAATAACTCACGCTCTTGAGTCTTAAATGGCTTGAAAGTCCGCTCTGCTGTTTCATGTTAAGTAGAACAAATGTAGATGGCATTTACAAGTTTAAAGGGCAAAGAGTATACAATAATTTCTTGGACAAATATTTTGAAAATTATGCTTTGGATTCTGGACCTAGTCAACATATGCCAAGGATACAAGTTATATCACAGATAAGAAATGTCTAACTAGTAACCACTAGCCATGGTATTTTAGCCAAGGATACAAGTCCCTTAATCATTGGCATGCTTTCAGTTCGGAACATGTCATAAATGCAACTAAAAATCTCCAACTAAACACAATGCAGTGTAGCTGAATTTCAGTGAGTAAAGATAATAAACATGGGAAATTGATCTATGATAGTATGATTGAAGGATACACGTCTTCTCCCTGACAAGGCGTCTAATAGCTGAGTTGACAAGTAGAATTGATTCCTCAAGAGTTGTGAGCATATAACTTCGAGCAATAGTATCAGACAGAAATCTTGAGGTGTGCCAGCCTTGAGAAGTGATGGACAACGGGTTGCAACCCACTGACCATATCCAATCCTGTTAAAAATACCAGACACTAACAAGATTGAGTTAAGTAGAAAAAACCCAACTCAGTGGCACATGATCCTCCAGTTAAAGGCTAAATTAGGATGCATGGAAGAAATTGCATGTTATAATAGATATGGCTAGAGATAAATTGACCTGAATGGTTCACAAAATAAGCATGCATTGGCATTTTCTAGCGTCAAAAGATGATCACAAAATTTTAATTTTTTTTTTTTAAGTATTCAATTAGAACACATTGCACAGTCGTTTTCTAGTCTTGAAATAAGCAGAGAAGTAAAGGTCAACTTGAAAGGGTATGTCTAAAGATATCCAATATTTGTCATCTCCTCACCAGGCATGAGTTGCCTGTGACCATTTAGCTTCTATCTGTGGTCATAGAAGTGTGTACCTGGATGTCTAGATGTTGACTTGTTCAAAGGAGTGAAAACACTTCATGTCAAATTAGACAGATATGTCCATCCATGTATCAACTTAAAAAACCAATAATTCAACTCACTACTTTTGCAATAATATGATTTAATCAAATACTACAAAAAATGTGATCAATTTTATTACAATAAAGAACCATAAAGAGTAATGTAGACAAAGGAGTTCCCTTAGATGGATAAAGTCTACACTCTACACCTATGACAACGTAACAAGTATGCAAGCAAGTGTTCTCAATAATCAATGAGTATAAGAATCCAAACTCAAAGATTATGATGGGTTATTGAAACAGGAAAAGATATTAGTAGAATCCTATGCTGATTTTTCCTCTCACACGATGAACCTTGGGAAAAAAGAGAGAATTTTCCCTCCTTGTCTTCTAGATTGTAATTTGATTTCTCTCCTTTTCAATAAAATCTACTTTTTCCAACAAAATAAAATTAACAAGAATGCATAATATTGGCAATTTAAGAAAATAGCAGACACATTAGTTCTTTAAACAAGCATGAAAAGTAGGGAGGATGGAGGAGTGTGAGAGACAGAGAGAAGATTTATTAGTCAAATGTTTAAGATTTCTACAAGCATAAGGCACTTGTTTGGCATTTGAGCTTAAAAATGAACAAATCCTGAAAAGCTTTAAATATCAGGTAATCAAGGTGGAAACATAAATTAACATCCCATGGAAGGCAAACCTCGATTGCAGTTTCATGGGCTTGACTGTAAACAAGATGGAGAGGAAGTATTCCTGCCAGATGTTCAGAAACAGCAGCTAAAGCAGCCTTTATAGGCCTCCTGACAGACCATGGGAAGAAAAAGGCTAAATGAGTACTATCATTAACACTGATTTCAAGAATGAAAACAATATTTTATCTGAGGAAAAATATAAGTGCTCAGGATGAAGGATGATACAGTCTGTGGTCATGATAAAAATGACTACATGGGAGATTAAGCCTTCACTTTCTATCTTTTTACCAAACTGATATCAAAATGGTGATTATACAATGCGAATGCACCGAGTGTCAACACAATAAATTAATGATTCTAAATTAATTACTTCAAAACAACCTGCAGATACTTAAAAAGATTTTAGACAGAGCATAGCATTCCAAATATGCATTGTCAGAAAATAATTTGCTATCTATACCAATTATAAATGCATCATAGATATTCATAATAATTTGTTCCTATCTATACCATTAATTTTAGATTCAAAATAATGCTGCTACTATCTATGCCAAATATCCATCATAGATTTAAAATATAACCTCAAGTCCCACTTAAGTGACTGCCCATTACACTGCAGATGACTTTCCCATGATGATGATTCTGACTGAACAACAATAACCATATCGGATAGTGCCTTTGCTTGGTAATGCTTGTCAACTAACAATGTTTCCCCATGAATAAACCAAAAAATAGGGATTTCGAGAGTCGACCTGCTATGTGCATGTGACCCTGCATCATCAAAGAATTGACGGGAAGTCAGTAACTATACTTACAAGTGTAATATCAGGCATGACCCCCCCCCCCCAATATAAATAAACCTAAAGATATTTATAATTTATGAGCCATGCTTATTAATCTATTATAGATACATGCACATGTACAAATTAAATTTGTCAAGACAACCAGGGCAAGTGATTCTAAAGATAATTGTTCCCCCTTCTCCTTCCCTTCCTTTCATTCCTCTTATGTTTTTCTAGGCATGCCACATTATTGGAATAACTTTTTTAAGTAACCTGTTTCCTGCATGGTTGTCTTACATTCAAGTTATTGCTCAAGTCAATCGGGCTTGATAATAACATCGGTTTCTTTTGCCCTTTGGGGGGTAAGGTTGGTTCTTCACCATATCTTGGGAAATCACGGAAAAACAAAACACACCAAAAATGCACATTTCATGAAACAAACCTTTCAAAGAACCATGATCATTCAATCGTTGTAACTGATGTTGGAGAATGGAAGAATCAAGATAGGAACGAACAGTTTTCCTGTATGTTCCATTAACCAGTAACAGAGGGACAGCAGCAGCTCTTCTAGCCACAGAAAAAGCCATTGCCAAAGCAGGATCTTCAGACAGAGGTAACCTACAAGTGTTAGGTGAAATTATGAAAATATTACAGACAAAAGCACATCCACAAAGAAAGAGCATATGAACAAACTGACCACAAGGTTCATGCAACATACACAAAGAAAGAGCATTCTCTCCTTTTCAAAGTTTTTAGGGGTGGGGATTTATTTATTTATTTTGGTGGAGGAGTTGGGGAGGAAATATAGGACTTCTACTTTCTAATCTACAGGGATAACATAGGGTAATGTAAGAGAAAACTCAAAGAGGTTAGACCAAACAGGGAGAAGACAAATAAGTCAAGGGCAAACATTTATAATGTCACCTGCTATAAAAGCAAAGGAGAGAATCCAAATGAAAAAGGAGCCAATACATACATATGTTGACTGAACATCACTTTCTGATTAGGCAATTTCAGCATTGAAAGTCCTTCCATTATAGACTTGAGGTCAACAGGCAGCAATTTAAAATTTCTAAATTTCTGCAGATTAAATTTGGAGAAACATTATTCATAAGAAATACTGTCAATTTCACATTATAAAAAAATAATCATACCTCCTCTGTGATAAAAAACAGCTGGAAAGATAGTTTCTCATAGTAGTGAAATGCCCCATCAGCAAGCGAAGGAGATATAACATGTCTCATTGACCCCCACAAGGTAGCACCCAAATGTGCAAGGAAAGTATCACGTGCTACGGTGTAATTTTGAAAATCCTGCAGCATCAAATTCCTTGTTATAACTTCTTCCTTATCATTAATTTCCTTTTTCAAGTGCCAATATTACAACTCTATTTTGCAGATATGGTGCAGATTGCAAGCACTTTCAAAATTTTACAGACAATAAAATTTCAGCAAACAAGTGTCTCAAACGACTGAGCAAATATATAAAAGCCAATGACACACCTCTCGAGTATCACTGAATAAATTCCAATTCTCCATCCTTTTCAATGCATCCACAGCCTTTTGTTTATGGCTTTCATCATACTCCTCACCCTCAAAAGACTGGAGTTCGTTTTTCAAATCCCGCATTCTCTCATCAAGCTCTGGTATCAGAATTCCAAAATAAATCATTTCAATACCAGCCCATTCACTTCATGTAAAAGCATTGCAGGAAAAGGAAAATGTTTTTCCAACATTTAGTTTGAATACTGAACTACTTTTAAACTGTTCACTTACAAAAATAAAATAAATGCAAAAATTTTCAAATAACCAATACACTATTACAAGCAAATAAGATAATTCATTTTTATCTTCAGGAGATGTTGTTTTCATCAACTTCTTCACATGAACAGATCAAACACCTATCCTGCCACTATCAGGGGACAAAAACAAGCATTCACATAATGAAATTCTTTGACAACTGCAGTTCCATCCAGATCCAGTGGTCAGCTCTGATCATCCTAGTGGTACACAAGTACAATGATTGAGTGGCAGTTAGAAGGCTCGGATGGAAGAAAGTTGAGTGGCGAAAGGGCTTGGAGAGAAAGAAGTTTGAGCGAGAGAAGTGACTAAAAATCAGATTAAGATGGATAGGAGGGTTATATAGGTATAAGAAAAGATGGAACAAAGAAAAAATTTTACATGGCTTTTGAAGCATAAAAACAAGTTTCAACTTTCAAGGAAAACAATTTAGGTGGGCTTCAATTCAGTAAACATCATAAATACTGAATACATGACCCCCATTTGATTACATTTTAATCAAACATAAAGAAATTTGATAGGGAAATTTTTTAAAAAAAAAAAAAAAGTAGACCAGAAAGAAGTAGCACAGGTTTCATGAAGCTTGAACTACACAATCTATAAGGTACAAGGAAAAGGGCAGAAAAGAATTCCAATACATTAAAATAAAAAATTAAAAATTAAATATTAAAAATTAAAAATTAAAAAACTGAGGTGGAGAACAGAAAGTTACCTTCACAAAGAGCAAGTTTAACCCTCCTACCCTTGCAATGTTTAAAAGCAAACAGCTCGTATATGTCAATTTCTGCAAGAAGGATATCTATGGCTTGATGATCTTTCTGCATCTGCATTTTCAAAGATGAAAATGATAGAAACATCAATATCCACATTTATCCTAAATTTCTAACCCCTGCATAAGAATTAGTATTAATAAAAATAAAATAAAATAAAAAAGGAGCAAACCATATGGGAGCTCAGAAGAGTCAGCTAGTTCGAATCCTATATTCAAGCACTGTGTATGTGATCTATCAGCATAGTATGCAGGATCCTGAATTGGGAAACTATTTTCTGGCCCTGGTACTCAGTTGTTAGTCTACTAGCAATACATGCAGTGACTACAACTTCCTACCATATACCTCTACATTGAGATGAAAAGGCCAAGCCTGAACAAAATCGTCATTATTCCGTAAGTCCTAGATGTGCCCATGCAAGCCACTTACTCCCAAAAACCAATAAAGTATATTTCTTTAATCAGACATTCTTCTCTTATACCTTTATAAAATATTTAGTTATTTATAAATAACTATGTAAGAGAATAAATCAAAATGCTCTCACAGCATTTCAGCAGAACAAAGCAACTTCAGAAAATATGAGCACCAAAACTTTTCTTTAATTAAATTAATACTCCGTAAATGAATAAAGAAAACAAAGCAAGATTGGATCTTTCAGAACATACATCACCGAATACTGCAAACTTCTCTTGTATCGCCTCTTGCAATATATCTTCAGCCTCTTCTTCAGAAATTTCTGGTGCAATTAAATTACATTTAAGAAGAAGAAAAAAGAATAAGAAATGACATAAAAGGATAAGAGGCTCTGCAAAAGACTGAGGTCTACATAAAATGCATTTAATAAAAGTGCGGAAACTAGAAGTGCTACAACTTTGACATAGATGTACTAATTTAGAAGTAAATCTTTTTTTGTAACCAATTAGACCAAAGAATCACAGATTTCATGGCATTTTACTAATTCCATATATTCTTGCAGCTTTAGGAATAGGTCACAAGCCATCATGGACACCCTTTCTGAAGAAAAAGAATTTCTCAACGAAAATATTGTTCAGATTATGCAAGGGTTTCAGATTAATTCATCAAGTTATTAAAATCCTTCTCCATGGAAAATAAAATAAGAAACCAAAATTCTAAGAATAGGGCCACAAATATGATTTAAAAAGCAGTAAATACAACAAACTAAAAAAAGACTGCACCCTCATTTACGATATCTCTGCCAACTTTATATCACAAAAATATTACTTAAGCTGGTTAGCAAAGCCTAGATCAAATTGTCAAATACACATTAAGTAGAAAAAAAAAAATTAAATCAGAAAGCATCCTTTCACTGCAGTACCTGCAACTGCACCTAAGGTTTTTTCTACACTTGGTAAGCTCAGTTCTGTGCGAACACCTTCTCCACCAACAGCAGGCCCCCATGTAAAGGGCCCCGCAGACAAGTCGATAAATGCCCATCTGAGAGCCAAATACAACAGAGTCAGGAATTGTGGTAAACATAAAGAAAGCTGTTAGGTGAGAAGCACACACAAACAACCATGGCCACAAACAGGAATAGAAATGAACCTGTGATTCCCTATCCATGTATCTGTGAGACATTCTGCATGTAAACCACTAAAATCCCCAGATTTTAACTGCTTATCAAAGAGAATCCGCATATCTTCATTTTTCCCTTTCAAGAACTTGAGAAGATTTGCAAGTTAGAATATTTCAACAGTCTATTTTTATTGTGCTTCAAATGATAGAATAAAGCCAATAAACATAACTCTAAAACTGAAATGATTGCTCAATTAAAATGAGTTGGTTTTCTTTTAAAGAAAATAACTAGTGCTTGTTTAGCCCATCTTAGTTTGGGCCTTATATAATCCAAAAAGTAGAAGTCAGGCCAGACACTAAGAATTTAAAAGAACTTTCAAGGCTAGATAAGAGGGAAAATTCACTTTTTCAAATTTCAATAAACCCCAATATTTGAACTTCTTGAAAAGGGTTCTTAAGAAGCTCAAGTTGAGCCAAACAAGCCTTTACTTTGAATATGCCATATGTCCATATATTTACATTCTGCAATGGTCATTTTAAAGGAACTAAATCACTTCTAAATGAACTAAATTCGCAGTTTGCAGTTTTGCACTAAACCTAACACACCACCTAACACACCATAGTAAGACTAGAAACTTCACTCCATAAAGAATTCCCTTCTTCTCATCACTGCCAAAAGGCAAGGTGGAAGGACATAGAGTCTCCATATGCACAACCAAGTAATCAAGTATACCTGCATAACTTTGCTCTGTATGATGGTGGCTGCATCCTTCCCTTGAGATAGATTTTCAACATTGTTTAGCACATCCAGGCATCTCTTGTACCATTCTACCTGTAATTATTTCAAATTTTCAACAAGGAAAGTACACTAAAATAAACAAGTGTAAAAACTTTCTAGTTTCAGCACTTGAAAAATTGAAATATATATAGAAGGCATAGGTTCCAACAGTCACTTATCAATTTGGCAAGAACAAAAATTATGGACTACAATAGGTCCGATATATTAAAGATTAAAGAAGTATAGGTCACAAAGTAAAAGTCAAAGTATAACAAGCTCCAATGAAGCTAAATATTTGAAAGACATTCCACTAATCCACCACGCATGTTAGACATTGAAGTAGCTCACAACACAGCTTCATAAGAGGAAATTCTAGGAAATAGTTCAATTGAAATTCCAGCATCAGTGTGTAATTGAATGCATCAGTGAAGATCAATAAATCCTTCAGTTAAAAAGAACCCTAAAGACAAGTGAAATAGAATCACCAATAAATAAGACATGAAATCAGAAATCCTGAATAAAGCAGTGCCCAAAAGAACACTAGTATTAAGCACTATTTGTCAATGGCTTCACAATCATACTGCTTAATGCTTATACATCATTCTGAGCATCTTCATGGAATGTACATGAAAATATATACTCAACCAATGCCTAAAATTCCTGCTGCTACAGTGTACTACATGTATTAAAGTACTTTAACAAGCATAATCAAAATTTAATTTTTTTTTTTTTAAAAAAAAAAAGTGCGAGTGTGTGACGGAGAGAGAGATTATTTATCCTATTAACACCAACAAAAGATAAGGAAAGATCAGCCACGGCCTCCTCCAAGTATAACAAGCTAAATCTAAAAACATTTCAAATTGCTTCAAGAGCCTAAACAGAAAATTAACTTACCGTATCAGTTTCTTCAGTAACAGTCCAGGAAAACTTTGCCATTGGATGCTTTTCGTATAAAGGTTTTTTTATTTTATCAAGAGCTGAAAATAAACCCAAAAAAATGGATGGAGTTGTAAGTTGTAGCCCAAAAACAACAAGAGAGAGATAGAGAGATAGAGAGAGAGAGAGAGAGAGAGAGAGAGAACATGAATTAACCTACCAAGAACACTTTCCGGAACACTTCCTGACTGAAGAATTTTTGACTGCAACTCCTTATTCTGTACAACATAACATGTCAGTATAATCACTTCAAAAAGTTCTGTACAAGGGTTAAAAAAACAAGCTTCCGGAAGTGTTAAACATACTAATTACTAAGAATGAAAAACAGTGCACTATGAAGGCGGGAAAAAAAAAAAACACAGCATAAGATAATTGTCCAGCACATAAGGGTCAAAAGTAGTAACAACATTCATGTGTACCTCTTTCAGAAAGTTTATTTCAGCCTCAGATAATCCTCTCCTGCAAAGTTTTATTTTGAAATATTCAGGAAAGTGAACTGAAGTAGAAAGAAGAAAGATGAAAAAAAACCTTCATAGAAATCATGTATGCATGTGCAGGTTTTAGACCCCTTAACCTAGCATGGTTCTAAGATCTTTTACCCAGGATCAAGAGGCCAGAACTGCTTCCTCAGCTCAGATTTCAATCATTAGGACAGTACAGTTGCATCTCATAAGTATATATTACATCAATACTTGGTTTTTATCAATTTGGATCAAAATGTTTTTAAAAAACAAAACAAAACAAACAAAGTTTTGATACTTATAATTAACTACTAAGTCACAGAGCAAATAAATCCAATTCGGCTAGTTATATACTTATATATGAATATAAGATTAAGTCACCTCACTGTGACAGGACTCTGAATACAATCTGAGAATGATATTTTTAGCCAACAAAAAGGAGGAAATCTTTTGGCCTAAGGAAAGTAAATTGGAAGAGAAAAATCAATTGACCAACTATTCCAAATACAAACCGGTAGCCATATTTAACTCTCTTTTCAGCGCGCTTGGGGTTCAAAATGAAAATGTTGTAGGCATCTTCTAATTGGAGATACTCCACAAGGCTATTAAAAACAACTTCCATCATGTCCACATCTACTTGCCAAAGATTGTCTCCATCGTCCCTTCAAAAAAATGGTGGTGCAAGGAAACACATAAGAATACCCAAAGCACCCACACAAAATGGTGTGTTGCTGGAAAATAATATGCACCTGGTATTTAACACATCATCTTTACGCCCAAAGACATCAATGGCACGTTCAAAGATGGATGTGACTTTTTCTCCCATCTGGATGGCATGAACTGAGAAGCTGCACATGCATGTTTGTATTAACAGAATGTCATAGTGAATACTGTCAACTACAATTCAAGGATGTACATTGACATTAAGAAAATTATACTAGAGAGAAACATCAATACTTGTAACTTAAATGGCTGATTAAGGGAAGATGATGTCGTTGTTCTTTATCAATACTAATCTTGTAAAATGGTGTAAGGACTTCTCCTATCTGTGGAATCCTTGTATGATCAAATATGTGATCAATTTTTGTGAACCAACGCTCCATTTCCTCAGGTTGTAGCTTGAACTCTAGAGCAGCAGAAGGAACAGAGTCCATATCATAAAATACATAACTAATTTTAAATTAAATAAGATTATATAAGACTGGAAAAAAATGTTCAGCCAAAATTGGTGAAGAATATGAGTTAATACCTAGGTTACCCTTTCCTTCAAATCCTATGAAAATGAAATTCACAGGGATTGGAAGGTATATGGAGTCAATTTCCAAAAGCTTCAAATAATTTGCAATACTACCTGCATACAAGAGAGATAGAGCTTTACTATTAACAGTTGTGTCCAACAACAAACTATACTTCACATGGTTTTACTGTTTTATATAGAATATGCAAAAAAGTTACTTTTAAAAGAGCCACCCACAACAAGTGCATTTCATTCAAAAAAACATGAATGTGAAATGCAAGTGTATCAGAGATCATGCTTCTTTGTTGTTCACAATTCAGCATAAGAATGAAGACAGAGAATCATGACTATTATTGAACTCTCCAAGACACTGAGTATAAACATATGCTCTTTGGGAATCTATGTGTGCATGCTACGCAGCATGTGAAATACCACAAAGAAATCAACCTTCATTAGTTTTCCAAAACATTGGCATTTTGCAGAGATTCTGGAAGAGAGTCAATCTCTCATATCTTAAAAGTCTTTCTTAGGTACTTTGAGTTTTGGAATAGTTTTTAGTATGCAAAATAGGTTTTATAGTCCTTATTTAGTAAGACAAGATCTTAGAGTATATAAATCCTAATTTAACACTTCTTCTTCTTCTTTTTTTGAAAGGACTAATTTAACACTTCTAAGTTCATACCCTTCAGTCAATTATGAATATTAGCCAATGATGCTTGCTTTGATGTAAAGGATGAAGTTAATATTCTTAGACTGGTTGCTGAGGCAAGCCCACAGTGAAATGTCATGGGAAGTTTATGTGTGATTGCAATAGCATCTTTATTTCTTGTACTGCATCTTGAAATTCAAAATTACTTGATTTTGTTCTTAATTCCATGTTCATCCCCTGAAGAGCCTTTCATTTCTTTTTTCCTTCCTTGTTATCTATTTACATTACAATTTGCTATACATCCACCTCCAATGCTTTAGCCCTTGTATAACCTTACAATTCCATATTTTTCCAACCACAACACTTTACAAAATCAGGTGTCCTCGTCATATCGTCCTACATCAATTTGGTCTCATCTTGAAAACTGAAAAGTATAAAACACCTACTTGATTCCTACATCAGCATCATTTTATTATTCATATTCATGGGGGAGAATCAACATTTGATCTATGAAGACTGACCAAATGTTGAAGAATGAGATAAATATAGACAAAAATATTATTGTTCTCAGCAAGATGGTAAGTATAGCTGAGCATCCCAAGGGAATAACAAACTGAGAAAGGTTGTTGGATCTTTCTAGGCAAATAAATAAATAAAATAAAAATAACAAATTAAGCCCACGCTTTCCACACACACAAAAAAGGGAGAACATGAATTAGGAAATAGCATAATCAGTTAATCTCTGAACACATTTTATTGGTATCTTATTCATCCATCATCCAATGAGATTATAGTTTCCGGTGTTCGCCAATTCCCTTTAAATTTACCCCCAAAAAGTCAATTAAACAGAACAATTCCTTTGAATGATAGTTGAAAATGAAAATATATCTATATGGAAAGGCCCAAAAAAAAAAAACAAACAAACTTTGAGATTAGCTTATGGACTTGGTAAAGCATAGCCCTGGGGACACACAAGTACCTGCCTTGGTATAATTGAGAATGTCCATTTTATCTGGCCCAGAAGATTCCAAATCATTCAGATCTGCATGCATACAATGGCATTGTCACAGATCAATATAGATAATATTGTAATAAACGATTCAGTTAGCAAGTTAAATAAGCAGAAAAATGAGTTTACATACTCACCAGTACGGATAACAGATTCACTCCAGAATCTACTCTTGTCTTTGAGGTTAAACAAAGAAAACACAGAACTCCCGGTTTTCCGATTTCCAACTGAAGAACCATATGAGCCATCACCAAGTAACTGAAATAATAAAGTCCCAAACATAACTTTTAACAACTGTGAACATATCATGAAAAGATTGGTTTAAATTTCTCACAATAAGCACAGAAACCCAAACAAATTACACAAATTGCAAATGCCAAGAACATTCAACCTGTCAACTAATAGATCCATTACCCTTGGCAAGGAAATTAAAAAGAAAACTAACACTAGGATTTCAACCTAAATACATGGATCTGCTCAATAACAAAACCTATTCAATGACCTAAAAGTTACTTTTCCAGAAAGAAAAAGAAAAATCAATCTCCTAAACTCCAAGGTCTGCTTTAGGTCCTTTGTGAACCAATATCCAGGAAAACAACTCAACTTTAAATAATAATAATAATAATAATTTAAAAAGTTATAATATATATATATATATATATATAATATAAAAACAAAGTGGCACACTTCCACTCTCAGTTTAGCAATTGCTTGGATGGTGAAATTTAGGGAGCCCAGCTCGGTGTGGCAGCAAGAGAATGCATCCTAAGGATCAAAGGAGCATCACCTAAGTACATCCTCTTGCTCTTCATTTCTGCATTTTGGTGTTTAAAAGACTATGCATAATCCATTCTACGTTCAAATGTTAATAGATAAATTTATGTATTGATCTCATTGAGAGAAAAAACTATTAAGTCCTGTCAAATACAACCTAAAGCAGAATTCAATTCTTAAAGCCAATAAACTTAAAGAGACCAAAAACTACGCAATGTGAATTGACTGAACAAATTATCTAAAACGGCACAATGAAACATGCAAAGTAAAACGAGAAAATGATACCAAAATGAAACTAAGTTAAAATGCAATAATTAAAATATCAAACAATGGCAAAAATTGATGAATTTCCTAATAAATTGTTTTTTTCAATGGATAACTACGCTGACCAGAATGATGAGGAACACGAGAGAGAAGCGACGACTTGAGGAAGAGCGAAACATCTTGGCGGCAGATCTATCGCGAGCTCAAATAAACGGATCGTAAATTCAACGCCCAAATCGGAACTTCAATTCGGATTCAGACTCATCTGCAGTGCGACAGGGGAGCTCGAGAGGGCACGGAGAGACTGAAGAAGACGAGCAACGACTGTTTCTTATTTGGTGCAAAAATTAAAAACCCCCAACCCTCAATATTAATTTGCTAAAATATGATTTCACCCCTACTCTTTGCACTTAACGTCAATTATTGAGCCTTTATATATTTCTCGTTTGCCATTTGACGTAAAATCTGTTGAAATTCGAACAATTAGTCCGAAGCTATTGAGTTCTGATGACGTGTCCGACTACATTCTACAGGCTATTGGCTTTTGTCATGAATTTTATTTTATATTCTTTGAATTATTTTTTTAATATTATTGACTGTATTACAATGTAATATATTTTCTATACTTTTTCAAATTAATATAGTCCAAATAATCAATACTCAACTATCGGATTCGATCCTGTGACCTTCCTTCAAGGGGAGTCACATATGTGACATTCGAACACAAGGTGCTTGACATATTAATTATTTAATCTTCATTTTATTCATAAATTATATATTTTTGATATTGTTACAGTGTTTTTTTAATATTTAATTAATATATTATATAATATTATATTTATTGTTTATATATTGTTTATTTATATTATATGTAGTGCATTATACATTTAAAGTATAATTAATTATACTACTTATAGTAAAGGAAATATATTCTTTAAATGTATAAGGCCACTTTTCTTTTCTTTTCTTTTTTCAAATACAAAATACAAATTTATTTAACTTATTAAGGCATTCATTTGATATTCATGATTTAGAACTTTTAAAACTTTAATATAATATCATTTGAAATTCATGATTTAAAGTTTACAAAACATTTATGCAATGCCTACAAATTAATGCATGATAGAAGCCCAAATGCAAGTCTACTAATTCAAAGCTACGCCTTATTTAGAAGGACAGTTGTGGTGGTGAGAGTGGTTCATCATGTTTTAAATTTTAATAAATTCTGAAAACGATTATATGACAAAAGAGTATTGAAGTGGTTAGTGTGCTTCAAGAGCGTCAGGCAAACTATCATCTACCTATGTTCAGCAGAATAGTGTATCATATCATCAACCATAAAAAAAATAGTTAGGTGTTGCTAATTGGACTCACTAGTGTATTCATGCCCCAAAGGCATCAAGAAGTTTGTTCTCATTGATGCTTGACAGAAGTGTGGCATTGACCATGAAAACTACATTGTGTAAGATAAGTAAGTTCACTAGTGCATATATTCATGCTCTAATGTCCAAATCCATATTGTGACAAAACAGTTCGTGAATAAGGTTGGACACTTGGTGGATGATCATTTCCACACATGCTTGATACTTTGTGCATTGGTCCTTAGAATTTGTGCACCCTTCAGGGGAAAAAATGATGCAAATGTAATGGGATAAACAAAACTACACATCCAAGGGCCTTGTGGTCTAATTGCACTAAGTTGCTCCCTCATGTGGGAACTTGAGAGATTGTGGGTTCGAGTCTCATACTCTTTGTGCTTACAGATACTGCATTGTAACAGAGTTAGTAATACTAAAAACAAAAAAAAAAAAAAAAAAAAAAACAAAAACAAAAACAAAACTACACATAAATATGTTTCATTGATAGTCAATGTCCATAGTGACAATATTTATAAATAGGGCGGATGACATTGTTAAAACAAACTTTATATCATCTCTATTTATATGATATTTAATTATTTATAAATATTTTTTATTTTATTTAGATCAATTTTAAGTAATTTTTAGTGAATGTAATCAACTTTTCATTATATGCCACTTGCCACTGTCAATCTAATGATATAAAGTATATACCCTGTACTTTGGTTATGCTGAGTCTAGAATGCTGGCAAATACAATATTTTGAAAACATTAGTTCTACACATACTAATTGATTTGTATCGGCCCATAAGCAGCTTGTAAGTTTTAACTACTTTCCTGCCCTTGTTAGTTGTAATAACATTGAGTTTTATCTAGATAACATGCATGAATCGGCTACTCTTTTGATAATGATGTGTGGGAAGAAATTCGAAATCTCAAGAAATGCCTCGTTATGATGTTTGCAAAGCAAGAGAAGGATATTGTGTTCCTTGAAATTGTTATGGGGTTGGCAAAGCAAAGGGGCGTCAATGTTTAGTTGAATGCATTCCTCTACGGCAAGAAGTTGCAAAACACGTACATATCTATTTCAAGAATGTTTGACTTTAAAACTATCCTTTCATTTATGCTCTAACGGCCTATTTACTTTGGGGTCACTGATGGGATGAGTTTTTAAGTAGTATTTCTTGTAGGTTTGTGAAACTTGCCAACCTTTAGTTTTATATTGGAGTAGAAATTGGAATTCTGAAAGCATGGCTGTTGCAAGTTTGGCACGGGATTGGGAGCCTTTTAGAATTGTATGATTTGTAATGTCTCAATATAAGCCTCAGTTCAGATTCCCTTGCATGTATAATGTATTGCAGGAATGTATTAGCATGTTAACATTCTTGCACCAATTGATTTCATTTTACTATTCTGGCACTATTGCCATATTTCCTTATGAGGGTACAGGCAAATGAAACAACCAACCAGATTATAATTAAAATATTTAAAAAAAATTGTTATTTTTCACAAGAAAAAACTCTTTCACGTTCATTAGCTAATAGTATAAAAGAAAAAAAAAATGTTCGGCAACTCATTGAAAAAAACAATGAAACATGGGCAAAAAAATGCCGTAAAAATCTTACTATCCAAATTCCGAACTAAACTACATATCTGAAACAACTTTTCATAATTATAATTCAGCATTGGAATCTAGAAATACAATTTGTAACAAAGAATGCATTCCCCAGAGTACAAGTTTGGATTTTATTGATATTCAAAAGAGATGTTTTGTGATCTTCCCTTCAATACTTGATGCAATTGTGTGGTTCTTTGGACCTTGGCACCTTGCTACCTGGCTGCATAAGTATATACCTGGCAAACAACAAGACAATAGAAACCATACCAGCTTAGAGGCTTCCCATTTCATAGGGAAAATATGACAAATCTCAGAGAGCTGCACTATCAATCTCATACTAATTTCAAGGCAATTCAGTAATCTAATATTCTAATCCAAGGGCATAACTTCATGGCATACACTGGATGCAAAGCTTCAACATTCCTCCAGTTAATGACTTATTTTTGACAAGTATCATGAGTAACTTTACTGAAAAAATACGGCAGCAAACTTGGTTACTTGGGGCTACAACTTACAACAGGCTATATAGGGGGTCAAATTTGAATAGATCAACTGCATAAGCTCTTTCATACCACGATTAGACTCATCATGTAGTTCACAGCTTCAGGACAATAATTTAATTGAGATATCAATGGGATTAGAGCTAACACTCAGATTTGATTTTAATTTATTAGAGCTTTCTTATTCATTGGCTATGCCAGTTTTAAGGCATAAAAATAAAAGGTTATGCCATATCATAAATGTTACCCCATATGACCCAGTGTGCTTCTACCCTGCATAATGTAGGGTTAGTGTTTCCAGAGTCTGGACTAATAACCTACTGGCCAACAGTCTGCCCTGCAGTAATAAAGATGCATGACCGTATAGAGAAACTACTACAAAGCTAATAAATAGTATTTCTAATTACCTTGGGGCCAAGAAAAACCTAGTTTTCACAATTGAGATTTACTGTCATACACTACGCAGTAAATTTGGTCCTACATTTAACGAGTCAGCTAGCATAGAAACAGCATAGAAACACCCATACAGATTAGCAAAATGCCTGATAACAAGTAAAAACAAACTATTCTAGCATAGTAGTTCCTATAAAATGACATAAAAGGGAGGTATTAACCTAGAAACCAAATATACAAATGGAAAATCATGTTTGACTCCAGAGCATCAGAACCTGGCATGACACACATTAGACAATAAGCTTAGTCAGACCTTAGGTTGAAGATGGAGCTGAAACACCAGGTTTTCTCTTTGAATTATCATTGGCAGATACTTCAGTCTTCATGTTTGCCTTTGCCAAGGTTTCCGCAGATGGAGGCACGTAGATTCTTGCTCTCTTCAAAATTTCAGAAACAATCCAGTGCTTATTCTTGCTCAATGGTCTGGAAGGATCCAATTTGACCTGAAGTTGCAGTTGCATGTAAAGGTGTTACCTTTTTCCATAGACTAAAACATCTACTTATGGATGCATCAAGTATGATATTAGGAATTTAGGAGTGGTTGAAAACACAAATGAAAACAAGGGCTTAACTTATTGCTGTGGTTTCATAAAATGAAACAAAGAAACACAGATTAGAGTGGTCCTTCAATAACTCAATTACTTTTGCACACTCCACATAACAAAGGCAAAGTAAATAGTTGACGTAAATCAATGAAAATTTCGTAGATATTAGTAGCTGCATCTAAGACACAAAGTAATAACAAATTTATAAACAAAGCAACCACATCATATCAATAGAAATCAAAACAATCTCCAAATCTCAACTCCTAAGAAACATATTAAAAGAAAATGCAATTACATCCTCCAGCAAGAAACAATAGGAATATAAAATCCATCATCTGATTTTTTGCATGCGATTGTTCTCAAATGTAGCAATTGAGAGTTTTCATGGACAATAATATATTTGTCCTCTACTTTCCAGGTTCTTTTACAAGCAGATTTGGTATTTCTCCAATACACAATGGATGGGGACAAAGTGGAGATCATTTTTCCAAAAATATTGATTTAAATCTGTCACTACTTTCCAGGTTCTTTTACAAGCAGATTTGGTATTTCTCCAATACACAATGGATGGGGACAAAGTGGAGATCATTTTTCCAAAAATATTGATTTAAATCTGTCACAACAAAAGGAATTTTTAACAAATGGCGATCTTGTCACTCAAAAATAGGCAATGACACTACGAATTTGAGCCAATTTCAATGTGTATTCTTAGTAGATAAGCAGGAAACTGGTTAAAATAAGTACCAAAAAACGAGTCATTGAATCAGTAATATATATGATGAAGGTTTTACAGAAAAGTACGTACGCGGTCGCCGATGTTACACTCGTCCTTCTCGTCGTGCGCCATGAACTTGGAAGTGCGCTTGACGTAACGGTTGTAGACCTTGTTATGGAAGAGACGGTCCACCGCCACCACCACCGACTTCTGCATCTTATTCGACACTACCGTCCCCACCACCGGCTTCATCTTTTCTGTTCACTTAAAACCCTATAAAACCCTAGCTTAGCGCCCTGCTAAATGTTAAACCCCTCCGGCTTCCACACCCTCACGGCGGCACCTGCTTATGTCCTGAGCACAAAACGACGTAGTTTGACTGCCTTGCTTCTATTTATACGCAATATTTCAGTAGGAGTTAATTACTCCGTATTTTCTCACCAGCACTTTTCCCTTTTCTAATGTTTTTTTTCCTCTCTTTTTTTATTAAAATTTTTCCCCTCTCTCTTTTTTTTTTTTTTTTTTTTTTTTTTTAATTAAATTTGTCAAAAAACTAATAATAACAATGCAATTGAATCATTCAACATTTGAATTATAAAAATAAAAATAAAAAATTGACTCAATAAATAGTTGCATTTTTTTTATAATTTGAATTTTATGCTTTTATTATTTTTTCATCTTTATCTTTATTATTTTTAATAAATAACTTCCTTTACCCTCCCAATTAAAACAATAACATCCTCCTTCATATTCATTCGAACCATTGGGACCACTTTGATGGTTACAAAATGAGCTCCAATAGGTTATTTATACTTATTCCACCTCTTCAACACGGAAGGCGGAAGGTGTATACCTATTTGATTGTATGACTATGATTATATCTCTAAAATCTTTCATAAAATTATCTACAACTATATGAGTTTTGTAATGTTTTATAAGATTATATAAATCTCTACACTAAAGGCCTATTGATCACCACTATCCATCATTCGCACTTGTCGTTGAAGAAAAATAGACAACCATATGGGTCGCCTTATCGTCAGAGAAACGACTTATACCAACTTCTTAATGTGAGAAGACAACCATCTAGGTCGCTTCTCACGAAAGGCGATCACTAGGCCGCCTTATCCAATGAGGGGCGGCCTAGATCGCCTTCTCACGTGAATAGGTGACCCAACCTTCACCATCAGAGAAGACAAAAGCGACCGGTGATTGTTCGAAGTTGTTAGTTGTAGGTATTTATCCCTATAGCATCACATGAACCTAATAGGGAATTACTATTACAAATCACTAATTGAGTTTTGGGCTTTAATACACCAAAATATAATATTTATGAACTTAATTGCATTTTTTAAAAGTTTAGAGAGACTTAATTGAATAAAATTTATGAGTTTATTTAGGTCAGGTTTGGTAAATGGCCATTAGTTGTTAGCTGATTGGATTAATTAGAGGGTATAACTAGATGATAGCATTAGCTGATTGTAGAAAGATGTTTGGTAAATTAGCTGTTAGTTGATAGTTGTTTGATATAATTTATTTTCTTAAAAAACTAATTGAAAAAGTTGCTTTGAACAACTTTTTGAATTTTAACTTTATGAAGTTGATTTTTTTTAACAAAATCAAACAATTAATAGTGGTCAAATAAGCCAAAATTATCTAATAGGCTAATATTTTACCAATGGCCTTAACCTTTTTCCCGATTATGTTCAATACCGCTCTTGAGACTCAAACATATAACATTCCATTTAGAAGAGTCATTTCATGCCGCTAGACCACAAGGTGAGCGACATTTTTTCCTTACTTATTTGTGTTTAAAATAAATTTCATAATTAATTTAAATAATCTCGTATAATAATTTTGCTCTCAAAAAAAATAAAAATCTCGTATAGTAATTAGTACAAACAAAACTGGTGAAGTATTATTAAATTTTAGAGTTAATTCATTAAAACATCCACATTTGGTCTATTGTGGCATAAAAAGAATTAGAAGTAAACTACCACCTATTAAAAAGAATTAACTCTAAATTTGGGAGAAGATAATTAACTCTAAATTTTATTTATCAAGGTAAGAAAAACATTATTTCCATCGGTTAAAAATTAAAATATTACGTTGCAAACAGAAGAGAATCATAATTTGACGAATGTCTGACGCACTTTGAAGAACAGGGTTTATCCCAACAGAATCGAATCCATACCGTTATCCACTAAGCCACCCTCCGCTTTTGGCTTCCACCCAAAATTGTCTCCATTCTGCACCCAAACCGTGAACCCAACTCCCACACTCTGCAGTCTACTGAATCGAAATTTGGTCCTGTTCCAACGGCATGCATTTCTTGAATTTTGTTGTAAAACACTGATGAGGATGCTGGAAAATGTGGAGCTGTGTACGTTTTTTTAATGAGCACTTCAATACTCTTCTGCCCGAATCCCATCTCTCTGAAGCGACCCACTTCCGGTAATTACTTGTTCCTTGGCGGGTCATCGCCATTCAGTGGTTCCGAGGTCCAATTGACCCATTGCCGGAGTTGGAAGAGAAGGTTCCGGAAGTTAATTCCCCATGTCAAGAAAAGGAATTCTAAGAAGAGCAGGGGTAGGAAGAGTTGGTGGCAGAAGTTCTTCGACGAGGAAGGGAACTGGTTTGGTTTGAAGGACGATGAAATGCTGGATGAGGTGGAAATAGAGGAGGGATTGAGCGGCGGCGGGGAGGAGCTGTCGGAGGATGAGAAGTTTGAGGCCTGGAAAAGACGAGCGGAGGCCATTATAGAGTTGAGGGAAGCGCAGGAGGATATTAGGAACGAGGAGAATAGGAGGTGGGAGGACTGGCTTGTGGACCCCACTGCTATTGATCTTGGCAATGGTTCTTCGTGGGTACGGAGCTCCAATGGAAATCCCGAAGAGGGCGCTGTGGGGGACGATCTCAGTGACTTAATTCCTGTGAGGGGATTGGTTAAATCAATGAGGGATATGGTGCTTGGCAGGGAAGAAGATGACATTTTGTATGAGGATCGCATATTTCAGTATGCCTCCTTCAATTCGGTAACTGCATTTTTCCTTAGTGTTGTGTTCAATCTTTTACTTCCATGTCTTTTTGTCTTTTGAGTGACAAGGAAAACCCGCAACCATTATTTGGTAGGGTGTGCAATGGACAATGGTAAACCCCGCCACTTGAGCCTAGTCGGCAAAGGACCATAAGGTAAACTAGGTTGTCCATAGCTGATCGGCTCAAACGAATAAGGTCAATAGGTCGCTCCCGCTGGGAGTCGAACTTGTAATCTTGGTTACCAAGTCTGTAATAGGCCACTCTTGCTAGGAGTCGAAATTATAACCTAAACAGCTTTGGCTGGGGTTGCCCCTTACTTCCATGTTGTTATCACTATTCTTATGCCGTGTGATCTTAAATTAGAGTACTTTCACACTCAATGTATCATGGATGATATAACATATTTCTTTCCTATATACAATACTCCATGTGACTAGGAATCAGATATTTGTATTGGAATCCATATGTAACCCAGATTCTTATACTAGCAACAGAAAAGAACGGCAGCAGATTAAAGAGGCCATACTGCTGTATGCTCATGATTAGGAATTCTGTAATATCCATTTCACTAAGATTATGAGTGTCTTGAAATGAAAAAAAGAATCTTACTTTATATATAGGCTCATATCAATCCAACAACATTAGATATTATAAACAGTATCATATTGCTAAAGTAAAAGGATTTGCAAAATAAGTTTCTCTTGGTTAGTTTCGTCTGTTATGTAACTTGACAGATAGTAGAAAGCATAATTGGAAAAATGTTCATCTGATGCTCTCTTAGACATTCCATTTGTTGTTTTTATTTTCAATGACAAATAATTCCATCGATTTGTCATAATTTTGCATATTACACATTTCTCAGTAGAACAAGATCCTGAATCTGCTATTGTATATAGCATGGTAGGTCAATTTGCCTTGATAAAATTTTATTTTCATTTTTAACAAGGCTTTTTTTGTTTTTTGTTTTTTTTTTTTTTAAATAAAGTATTATTCCTCATACCATTGCTAGGATGACACTAAATTATGTATGATATGTACTTCCTTTCTTGTTGCAGGCTAAGTTTTTGGCAGTGTTGATTATTATTCCATGGGCCTTGGATTTTTTAGTTCATGACTATGTTCTTATGCCCTTTCTGGACAGGTGATCCTTTTCTTATTGCATTCATACAAAATTCTGAATTTCAGATCTTTTGCTTCCAAAATTTGCTTGACAAATGGTTTTACTGGTCGGGGAAAGAAAGGGATCCTAAGTAACTTGTTTTGTAATACTTAAAATATGTATCCATTTATGTGTGTTCTTATTCTTGAACCTCTCTTGTTATTTTCCAGCTATCTGTTTCCTTAAGGATGTATCTGAATGTTGTCCACTCACCTTGAATGCTAATTCAAAAGATAGTTCCATAAAGATATAATGAACAGAACAAATAGTAACCATTATAATGGTAGATTGGTCCATGGTCACTCAATTGGGCTATAATACACATAGGCTAAACCACACTAAAAATTGAATCCAACCAATTAGCTAGTCTAACCCATAGCCTTATAAACTCATATTTTCTGTCTTATTTTATCAATGTGGGACTCTTAACAGTAACTAAGAGACAAAGATGGAACACTGCTCTTTACATTTAAAACCAAGATTTTTCAAGAATATGATACCACATTATCTGTCTATACTTTATCAAATAAGCTTGGTACTTGAGAATGCATAGAATTGGCACGTTACTAATGTTTATTGATTATTGGTACTGTTAATCCTCTTAGAATATTTATGGATGGTTACTACTGTGATTGGAATTCATATGCAAGCATTCTGTAAACTGACTCTCATATATGGTTAATATTTATGGGGAAGGTATGTGAAGACTGTACCACTTGCAGCACAGATGCTTGATGTGAAAACAAGCCAGAAGCGTGAAATGATTAAGGAACTCAAACTTGAGCAAGCACGATATCGTCTTGAGGTCGAGATTGGTAAATCCCCACCTCTTTCTGAGAAGGAGCTTTTCATGGAGCTTCATCAGAAAGCGTAAGTTTTAGAGTGGTCAAATATACTTCAATGGGTAACTTTTAATTACATTTAGCAATGCTCCCTACACATCCTGTTTGTACCTCTGACCTGCCACCATTTTTGTTTTTCTCTGTTATTTTGCTGAGGAAATCTCATAATATCATTAATATGTTGGAGCTAGACCTTTAAATGCCTATGATCTCTTCTTTTATTGCCAATGTTGTTTAACATCTTGGCTGTTGATCTTGCAGGTTAGAAATGCGGGATGAGCGGAGGTTAGAAAATCGCCGAGCATTTGCTAATATATGGTCGGATGCTGTATTTGGCATCTCATTATTCATTCTTTTGTACTTCAATCAGAACAAAGTAAGCTACCATCCCATTCCCTGTAATTTCTTTCTTCTTGGAATAGTTTACGTGTTCATCAATATAGTAGCATTATTTATCTAATATTATATAAATCAAGGGAATGACTTGATCTCTCAATATGTCCAATGTGGTTTATATCAAATTCTCAACTGTAGAAGCACCTCACTGTTATTATATTTAGGATATTACTAAATTGAGATAAGAAAGGCTGCTAAACCCAGATTTAGGAATCATAGAAGTATAAAATGAGGGATATTGTCTCTTGCTTGGTATGTATAAATGTGTTGGCTGTGATTGGATACATATAGACATACATTTGTACTTTTAGGGTGTTTGGTTTGCACATGGAAATCGGAATCGGAATGGGAATCAAATACTTGGTAATTGTAATGAGTTTTGGTGAAAGTATTTTGCATGTTTGGTAGTAGGGTGGAATTGGGATGATTACCAATATTGTTGTTTGGTTATGTATGATCCTATAATGGGAATAAGGGTGTGTTTGGTTGATAGGTTTTGCCCATAGGAATGGGTATGAAAGTGATTGTTATTGTTTGGTTGATAGTTATTAGAACACTACTATGGGTTTTGAATACCCCATCAATTGAAAAACTCATACCCAAATAAAATAAGGGTTTCATTCCCTTATTCATTCTCAAGTACTACAATTAGTAACAATTCCCATTCCACCCTACTACCAAACATGTTAAATACTTTTACTAAAACCCATTACCATTACCAAGTATTTGATACCCATTCTGATTCCGATTCCCATGTGCGAACCAAACACACCCTAAATGTTTTAAAAATACATGAACAAAAAATCAAGACAATTTATTCTAATATATAAAGACATACAAAACACCAATATGAACAAAAAAAAAAAAAAAAAAAAATCTAAAAGCACTAATCCAAACTTAAAAATCAAATTACTAATTAGGAGGAGAATAATGGAATGAAACCCTTATATTTTATTAGGGAATGGGTTTTCTAATTAAGGGGTAATCAAATCCCATAATAGTGTTCTAGAAACCTGTCAACCAAACAATAACAATCACTTTGATTCCCATTCCTGATAGCTAAACCCATGAACCAAACACACCCTTAGTGTCTTTGAGTTATTAGCTGCTTTCTTGTGCCTTTCCTCTCGGATATATAGATGGGAAATGAGTTAAACTGACATTGTGAACTGAACTAATATTTCTTTTTTCTCTTTGACACGTTGATTCTCTGTTGATATGTTTTGCAGGTGTCTTTGCTCAAATTTACAGGTTACAAATTAATAAATAATGTCTCAGATACTGGGAAGGCCCTTCTCATTATTCTCATTACTGATATATTTTTAGGGTAAGCATTTCTTGTCTCATATCTATCATGACAACATGTCGTTAATTGAGTCTGTTACCGAGGTTGAATTATTCCTCGTCTGTTCTCTTGAACTCATGCAAAGTTGCAAACCATGTTGATCTATGTTTCTGGTTGATTATTCGGAGAAAACATGGTTAAGGGCACACTCATTTTTCATTAATGAATTGAATGAATTTATACTCGGCTTTAGAGAAGTTCTGGCGTTATGGTTTTGCAATCTATACTAATTCCAGCTTCCTCTATACATTGGAGGCTGTTTAGAAAATAAATGTTATATTTGCATCTTTTTATTTTAATAATGAGATATAAATTGATTTCAGCTTAACTGTATCAGTTTTTTGTACGAGAATTTTCAGGTATCATTCTGAATCTGGTTGGCAGACTTTGTCAGAGGTAATCGTGGAGCATTATGGGTTTGAGGTTGATCAGGCTGCCATAACGATATTTGTTTGCATTGTTCCAGTTGTCATCGATGCATGCGTGAAGCTTTGGGTATGTTCTGCACCTTCAATCTTTTGGACTTTGGAATTTAGATTTCGCCAAGAGCTAGAAACTGTGGCATGTGGATAAATGATAACTTAACCTTTGGTGATTTTGATACATTATCAGTGGGTAAGATTTAGGCCTTGAAACCCGGGGTGGTAGCTCAGATGTTAAATGAGCTCTCTTTGTGGGGGCGAATTTTGGGGTAACCCGGGTTTGATTCCCCCTGGGCCAGCTCCCAGCCTCTCGGAGCGAACGGGGATTAGTTGGATGGACCTGGACCGTTAAACGGACAGAAAGACCCGGACCACCTCGTGGTTTACACCTAAAAAAGATTTAGGCCTTGAGACGACTACTTGAGTAGCTCATCGAGATCTCTTTTGCTTAGCAATTTAGCTCTTCTTGTTATTGAAGCAACCCGTATTCTAATGCATCATCCCATGGTCTTCGCTTTTCAGTTGTTCAAGTACCTACCAAAGATATCCCCAAAGGTGTCAAATATTTTCCGGGAAATGAAGAGGCATTAGAAGGATTGTTTTCCGATCCTCTCCAGCACCTATTGCAAGAGTTCATCTCCCGTTCTCTCGTTTACACGATTTTCCAACTCGCCATTTTCTTCTCTTGGTCTTGGCTATAGAGGATCCTGGATATGGAACCATGAGTCCATGACCCGAATTTAATTGTCTTGGATATATTCACACATATAGCCATAGTATATCTGGGAATGTATGTATGTATGTATTCCAACAAATTTTGTGGTTCTTGTCATTGATTCCCCAATATATATTCTCAGAGGTCTGGAAAGCTCTCCTTTACCCGTGGAGTTGTTGAAGGCTACAGCTGAAGAAAAGTTGTTGTGCTTGCCAGTTGCCACCCTCTTTTCTTTCTCATTTGTAAAACTATTGCCAGACTTATTGTCAAAACAAAATACTCTTCACAGCAAATTGAATTTAGCATCTATTAGGTAAAAACAAGGTAGAAAAGGTAGGCATTGATTGTGCTACACTTTTTAAAAGTACCTCATTTCCAGCCTGAGATAACAGCCTTTTATTCCATGTGCCTATTCTCTGTTTTATTTTATCTTCAATATATGAGAACACCGCCTTCTTCCTCCGCCCAATAAACGAAGGCAGACCCAAATACTTGCCAAAATCTGTTGCCTTCGGAACACCCAAAAGTTGCGCCACTTGATCCCTGCAATCCTCCGTTGTATTTTTACTAAAACACACACTGGATTTATGGTAGTTTACTGCCTGTCCAGACAAGGCCTCATATTCAATCAAACATCTCTTTACCTCCCCGGCTTCCTCAACATTTGCTTTAAAGAAAAGCAAGCTGTCATCTGCAAAAAACAAATGAGATATTGGCGGTGCACCTCTGGTTACTCTGCATCCATGTATTTTCCCACACTGCTGTGCCTGTTGCAAAAGCATAGATAATCCTTCTGCACATATTATAAATAAATACGGAGACAGAGGATCTCCCTGTCTCAAACCTTTTGTGGGTACCACCTGTCCTACTGAGAAACCATTTATCAAAAATTCATATGAAACCGTAGTGACGCAATACATTATCACATAATTATAGTAATGTTTTTAGTCCTTTTTTTAAAATATAAAATAAAATTATAACATCTTCATTTGGTCTTAGTATTATTGTGACATGACTATTTTTAGTCCATCAAAAAAATCAGTGAAATGTCTTTAAATACAAAGATATTTTAATCTTATTTTATACAAAGTAGGTTGAACTAAAAAAATAAAAAACTTAAAAAAAGGATTTGAGTGGGTGCTTCTATATGCACTTGACTTGAGAAGAAAAGAATGAGAACATATAACGCAATTATGCCGTGGAATCGTGTTCACCGAGAATGGTGAACACAAGTCAAAATGACGTCGTTTTTAGGTAAAAAAAAAATAAATAAAAATCGCGGATGTGGAGTTAACAACGCGTTACTTTGATCAAATTATGAATTTTCTGTTATGAGATTATGAATTTTCATAAAATTCATAATCTCATAACAGAAAATTCATAATCTTATAACAGAAAATTCATAATCTCATGGTTCCAAAGTGAATGTGTAGGCATGGTTCCAAAGTGAATGTGCAGGCATGGATTCATAATTTATGAATGTCCGTGATTTCGGGCGGGAATATGTAGGCATGGTTCCAAAGTGAATGTGCATGCATGAATTCATAATTTATAAATGTCCGAAACTCCGAAATTATGAATGTAATGAAAATTCATAATCTCATAACAGAAAATTCATAATCGCATAACAGAAAATTCATAATCTCATAACTGAAAATTCATAATCTCATAACAGAAAATTCATAATCTCATGATTCCAAAGTGAATGTGTAGGCATGGTTCCAAAGTGAATGTGTAGGCAGTCACGTAATTAATTAAAAGAAAAAAAAAAAATAACGGTGCACTAATACCGTTGGAACCGTGTTCACCATGAATGGTGAACACGGTTCCATGGCATAACGTCTGAACATAGAATCTGTCGGCCTATTAAATCCGGGGTGGTGACCGTAAGTTTCAGAAAATACAGGGGTCAAAATGAAAATAACCAAATTCATTTACTCCGTAATTGTTTGACTTATGAGTTCGGACTTCGGACTTTAGGAGGCGAGATTGCTTAGACTAAACTTACCCCTGTCAATATCCCATTTGCAAGCTAACATGGATGTGGGCTTTATCTTTATTTATTTATTTATTTATTTATTTATTTATTTATTTATTTATTTATTTATTTTTTAATCTGATTAGGATTGTCAATTTGCATTCTATGCAAATTAGCAACCGTACAAAATATGCGGCAACTTTTGTACTTATTTCTTTTTTTTTTTTTTATTTGTTTATACGGTTTTGAAATTGTATGATTTAGTCTCCCTCAACGATTTTACAATGCCATTTTATTCCTTTTGGCTTGTTCAGGTTGATTTCGGTACAAATTATAAAATTATACAATTCGATTCCAAAAGTTATTACCACTTTGATCATTTTCAACTGCAGCATCTTTACTAATGTTGAGTCATGCGCTACATAACAACATGTCATCCTTATTTGTTCATCGACTTTTCAATATGTTTGTTGGTCGTGTTTCTTGATGTGTTGGCATTTCTTGAGTGGAGTACTTAGAAAATCCTGACAAATGTATATTTGTTGTATGAGTATGATGAGTAACCTCAGTGAGAGTAGACATTAGAGTAAAATTATAATATGATGGATGATAGGTTAGTGAACACCTTGAAACAAACAAGGTAATTGCTGATAATTGACATTGCTCATTCCGATTAAGAAAGGAGAATTGAGTGATTGGAGGTTGTGGATTTTGATTGGCTTCATTAGGTTCATTATGTGAAAGTAGTGAGAAGTTAAATAATGGATTGCGTGGAGGATCCATTTGAAGGTGTTACAATATTTCGTAAAGGAAAAAGGCAAAAGATGGATGAAGTAATATGCAAAAATATCCATTAATTTCCTTCAACTAATTATTAGATTCCATATCCAAATTTTCTTCAACTAATTATTAGATTCCGTACCCAAATTTCCTTCAACTAATTATTATATTCCATACCCAAACTTCTTACAAACTCATATGATATTCTAGATTTAGGATTATGAAAAAATAATTTTTTTTATTAAAAAAAAGAGAGAAAAGAAACAGAAACCGAAAAGGTTAAAACAAGCTTCCAAAAGCGTTTGTAAACACACGCACTTGGACACAGAGAAGCAGAGAGAGATATACGTACATACATGTGTATGTAGTACACACATATATATACTGGCGTATGGTGGACCCTAAACCCCCCTTGCTTCTCTTTGTTTTCAAACCCTCCCGCGAAGCAAATTAATCCTTTCCTTGGATTCTCACTCCTCGATTCCAATTGGGGAAACCTCAGAGGAGAGACTCTCTTTGTTTTTATTATTATTATTATACTGTTGGATTTACATCTGAGTGAATAAAGAGAGTGATTTGGTTCAACTCTAGAGCTTTTCTGTTGTCGACGTTTCCGATTCAATTGGATTCATGGAGGAAAACAACCAGCAGGGTTTTGATCGATTTGCTCCCAACTCCTCTCCAGGTTCGTGTACATTCCTTCTCATTAACAGTTTTGGTTTTTGGTCAATTCGATTCAACTGAATTTTGACTTTGCATTAGGAGCTTTTGTTTGAGTTGTATTTGCCGGCTATTGGTTTTCGTAAAAAAAGAAAAAGGATCCGTTTTGCTTGTTTACAGTATTGCTTGCACCAAATTCGGAAGTTTAGGGTAAGGAAAGGCACGAGTCCTAGTGTCTTTCTTGCAATTGTATTGAATTCTCAAGTAGAGATGTGGTTCTGGTTATAGGGCTATGTACCTAGTTAAAGATCACGGCTTGCTACTGAATACCACAGTGGAAGTTGTTACTTTGTTACAATCACTTAGCAAATTCTGTGGACCTTTTTGATTTAATTATTAAATGTTATTCCAATTGATTGTATAATTTGCTAGTTAACTCCTGGCTATGGCCTTGTGTTGTTCTTATTTTTGATGTGTTGCATCTGATACAAACTGTGGACAGAAAATTTAAGGAACAAATGTATTTTTTGGTGAGGCCTGCATTGTTTATTATGTCAGTATTTAAGTATTCCATAAAACAATCTGCAATTGCTGTATGAATTAGTAATCATGGTGAAACAGCTAGAAATGTCTGAGCTGGTTACTTGTAGTAAATAACCCTTCACTTAATTTACACTTGGGAATTTGAGTCAAGGAACTTCTAAGGTTCTTGATGCATCACTGGTTTTGGATGGAAAGAAGCAGTACTGGTGCACCTTATGAGTTTATTTTAAGTACTCCTGCAGTTCTGAACAGTATGTAATTATGTATAGCGGATATGGTTTTAGGAATCTTATGGAAACAAAACATACTAGAGTTGATAGCGTGATGACTGATTTTGTTATATGCTCTCACTAGTCTCTACTTGAATGGAGCATCTTGTTACTTTTGGCCACCAAGTGTCCCTCAGTTAGTTCAGAGATGAATAGTTGTGCAAGGAATGATGGAACTGGCAACACTGGCATTGAGTGTTTTTATGGTGTTGGTTCTTTTGGGTGGGTTATAATTGTAAGAACTTTGTGGTTAGTTTTAGTGTACTCTTCAAGTCATGATTTTGATCACTTCAGTTGACATTCGGTTCAATGCTATCTGCATTATAATTGTGACTTCTATAAAGGAAAAGAAAACTTGAAAGAGTTTTCTTAATTATTAATTGCTTCTAGTTGTGTTATAGTGCTGAGTTTGATCTACCCTAAAGTTGATATGGTTAAATATGTGCCAAGAAGTAACTTTTGATACATTCAGATACTTACCCTCAAATTCCATTTACTTCTATGGGAGTTAAGAATGGTCACAGTACAATGCTTGCTTCTAGATTCAAACAGAGGAAAAAAGAGCAGTACGATGGGAGGAAAAAGTGTTGTGGTTTTTAATTTATATGAGAGTTAGGCTAAATAAGACTGTTTGGTTCATGGAGGTGACCTTTGCTTAGAGGAAGTATATCACTGGCAAGGATCATTTTAACTAATTTGATCTATTTATCTTAGTTGCTTAAGATCCTTATCATTCACACCTGGTCTATTTCTACTCCCTGTTTTGACCTCAAGCCTTTTGCCATTTCCATCATTCTCTTTGTTTGCTCATCCTAGCCTGTTGGCATTACCCTTGATCCAGGACTATTTATTGAATTTGTTTGATTTTGGGACATTCCTTAGAGATAGTGTGAAATTTACAAGTGGAATTCCTTTTCAAAGTATCATTTGATTTTTATCCAGAATACCTGTTTGTGCATTAATAAGCTATGGGTTCTTCTGATGTTGATGTAGGTGAGAGAGCTGAGCTGCATGCTGTAGCGGAACAGGTATGCTGCTATTTGTCCATTATATAAATCAGTGTTTCATTTTGTTTATGTATTTTTGAATTAGCATAGGTATTGTGTTCCATTAGTACTTGTTTAATCTATTATCAGCCTATTTCGCCCAAAGATGAAAGGATTGTTTCTGCCAATCATTCTCCGGATGCAGCCATATCTGTGGTTCCAGTAAATGCCAAAGACCAATCTGTTAGCTCTGAAACAAGTGCAGCTCTTTCTACTATGCATCCACCCAATTCTTATACTCCACTGGAGCAAGGTTTTTATTATGGAGGTTAGTACCATTTAGCTACTGTTTTCTTAATCCATTGTTCTGTACTTTCCAGAATATGATAAAGGTCTTCCTTCTCATTAAAAGTTTCTTGAAGTTGGTTGACTATATGATTTATTAAGCGTGCCTCAGGTGTACTACTTTAACTCAATGTGGCAAATTTTTGATTGATTTCTGTTCGACAAGTACATAAAAGATTTGGGTTATTCATTTTTTTTTTTGTTTGTCGTTCAAATTACATAATTGCAAAGCTTGATGCTTGTGTCCTATTTGGATCACACCTCAATTTTTAATGAAGTGGACCAAAAATTATAAATAATCCTTGGTCTTGTTAACTGACTCTTACTTTGTCTATGGTTCAGGTTATGACAATGGCTCAGGAAATTGGGCTGAACACTCTAATGAAGTGAATGCAAACAACTTGCATGTTGTACCTCCTGTGAGTTTAAATCAACTCTCTCATCTTAGGTATTTATTTTCCTTGATATTGTTACTACTTACTGAGATGCTCATTTTGTTGTATTTGATTGTATCCAGGCAATGTACAATGATGGGAATCCATCACTCTTTTTCCCCCCTAGTTATGGTTATGATGCCCAAATGGCATATGGGCAGTTCTCCCCTATCGGTGGTCCTCTGTCCCCCATAATGATAGATGGTCAGCTATATTCTCCACACCAAGTCCCAGTATCTCCATCCTACTATCCACCACCTATTTCACCTGGACTGCCACATGTTACTTCAGCTCTTCCTGCTTCACAGACTGAGCTGATGGCACCTGGAAGTAGTGGCCATGAAAGTTTAGTTGATAGTATGCTTTATGGGCCGGGATCAGGTTACTACATGCCCTTTGGATCTTTTGGTGGAGGAGAGCTTCCTGGAAACAGTAACCTTGGTTTCTACAAATTCCAGAATGATTTTGGATCTGGAGAACCTTTGACAAATCGGCCCAATTCACTGGACTCTGGCAGATATGTGTCTCCTTTGACTTCAGCTGCAGTATATCCACAACCTATTGGCCTACTTGGGTCATATGAGCAAAATGCTGCACAGGTTGGCTAATACAAAATTGTTTGTTATGACTTAAACTCTTAAAGTGGGTTGTAAGATTATACCAAATTTGTAGATGTAAGGTGTCCCTGAATTACGTTTTCATTTTTAGATACCTTCTTCTTTAGATAATAGCAGTGACTTTCTTGACTATTTTCTTTCCCCAAAAAATTGTTGACTGTTTCTTGTTCCTTGAGTTGATTCCCTTTTCAGTGAATGCATAGGCAATTTCCTGTGGAACTCAAATGCATCAAATATATATGAGCTCTCTAGTTTTTCCAGTCATTTGACTCTTGATCATAATTTTCCTACCAAAATACTAGTCTTTTTGCTCCAGTTTTTTCCTTTTTAAATTTTTATTTTTAAAATTGCTCATTAATTGCTAGAATTTTAAACATTTTACACATTGGAGTACATGTATTAACTTTCATGATTACTGACATCACAACAGGCATCATTTCAGGGTCTTGGATTAGCACCAGGCTCCTCAGCCAGACACTATATACAAGGTGGCTCTTATCCAAGTTCAAATTATGCCAGTGGCTCTGTTTGGGAAACTGGCCACCAGAATCACTTTACCACTGGAAAAGGTGGTAGACGTCAAAGGGAGCAAGATTCAGTCCACATCTCTACTGAATCACTTGCTATGTCAAGTGACCGGAATCGGGGACCTAGGGCTTCAAAACCAAAGAGCAAAAGTTCTCCTGAAGAGAATTCGTCTGGAATTCATAAGGATCTTGACTCAACACCCAGTTTTCAGCTTGACCAGTTCAATCGCCCTGACTTTGTAGTAGATTATGAGCAGGCTAAGTTCTTTGTCATCAAGTCCTTCAGTGAAGATAATGTTCACAAAAGTATTAAATATAGTGTTTGGTCCAGCACACCCCTTGGAAACAGAAAACTTGATGCTGCTTATCGAGAAGTAAAGGAGCTTAATAGCAGTTGCCCAGTCTTTCTCCTTTTCTCGGTATGTTTCTTGAGTCATTAAGTATAAATGAAAAGTGATTTTTTTTTTTTTTTTCTTTCTCCTATCTGTGTGGATATATTTGAGTTGATAAACTGGAAGCATATTGATTTAGAGACACTGTAGTTTCTGGCTAAAGCTTAAAAAGGTTCAGTACTGTCTAGTTTCTAGTGAATGGATGGCAAGAGTAAATTCTGGTACTGAAGAAGACCAGAAGAGTGATAGTGACCCTGATAGGTAGTTGATCTCTGTTGGATATACTGCATCGTGGTCTTTGTTTGGACACTTATGTTGTGACTTGCCACTGGTATTTTGCTCATAGGAATGCAACCTACCAAAGCTATGGTTATTTGATGCTGGGATTTGACTCGTGCAAGATTCTTGACTGGCATGCCCTATGTTATATTAGTGCCAAACAATGGGAAGCATGCTCTTTGTTTCATGGAATGGCTTGTTACTGGTTCTCTTGGAAGATCTAGTATTACTAATTCATACATTCCTGTATTTAATGCCAAAGTCCATGATATTGGGCTTTACACAGCCTGAGTTTAAAGAAGAAATTCACTTGTTGGAGAAGGATAGATTCTTATCACAATTCAAGATAGGGACTTCTCTTGTGCAAGAGTCAGTCATTTGACATTCTGCACCTCCTTTATGTACCTGTTTGCAAGTGATGTGCCTGTCTCTGTCCCTATTGTCAAATTGTCATCCCCTCATCCTTTTTTTTTTTTCCACAATTTACTTCAGAATTGTATCTGTAATCTAATTACACCCCATAATTATTTATATTTTTCTTTGAACTACTCATGCATATCAGTGCTATTATTGAAATTTTATTTAAACATCATTAAATATGGCCCCTTTTGATGCAATTTTGTTATTGATATATGTGTGTTACCCCCTTTAATTGTTTCGTTTTTTGAACAATCTATAGGTCAATGCAAGTGGCCAATTCTGTGGGGTAGCTGAAATGTTAGGATCAGTTGACTTTGACAATGATGCAGAGTACTGGCAACAGGACCGATGGAGTGGACAATTCCCTGTTAAATGGCATATTATCAAAGATGTACCTAACAGCCAGTTTCGCCATATAGTGCTGGAAAATAATGACAATAAGCCAGTCACTCACAGTCGGGACTCTCAGGAGGTACACAAGATTTTCCCTTCTCTTGATTGATTACTGGCTATGACTTGCTATTGTTCAAATATTTAGGTATTTCAACTATAGTTAGTTTATTATTTTGACAGTTGTAGCCTGAACCCAGATGGTGGTTTCATGTGTGTTTGGCTTTTTTAAACTTGTTTTTTTGTACATTTCATGGATTATGGTTGTTTGGAAGCTTTTACTTGACTAACCAGTAACCGTTAGTTCTGGAGTAAGAAGGATCAATTATATGGATTCTATTTCTTCGTTCAACTTTATAAATCTGTTAAATTGGTCAAATGAATTGACTCTGTGATTAAGGAAGGTTGATTTTAGGCGTTAGAAAGTAAATACGTATCCTGTGAAGTGTGAAGACTGAAGAGTCCATTCAACTAAAAGTGCATTGTTAAATCTAAGTTGATATTCGTATTCTTTTGCAAATTTCACTGACATATGAGGCCAAATCTCCCTGCCTTCCTAGACCATCCTGGAATGAATTTAATAAAATATTTCTTCATATTACCACTATTCTCCAATTTTTTCAACACTCTTCAAGTGTCAATCATCTATGACTTGTTAAGAATATTGATGACTGTCTTCAAAACTTTGTTTATTTTTATATATTAATCACATTAATGATATTCCTATCAGTTGATGATGGGGTTTTATCATACATCACTTCTTGCAAACTGCTATACTGTTATCTTTTATCCATTTTCCATTTTTAGTTCTGATTTGGTCTTTTCAGGTAAAATTGGAACAAGGGATAGAGATGTTGAAAATTTTCAAGAATTATGAAGCTGAGACCTCCATCCTAGATGATTTTACTTTCTACAATGAGCGGGAGAAAGCCCTGTTGGAGAGGAAGGCAAAACATCGAGCAATCTCAACTGGAAAAACTGCACCGGCTCTTACTGCTGACCCAATAAATCAACTGGCCGATAGCCTAGTCGAAACCCTCCACTTGGAAGGCAGTAAACAGTTGCCCCAAAAAGACCGGGAGTAACTCGCTCCTGTGAATATCCAAATTATAGAAGTAACTTCAACTGCTCAGAACTTGGCTAGGCGGTTTTTGTTTGGCACCCATGGTATCTTCTTATAATTAGACTGCTGACAGCAACATTGTATTCTTTCACCGTAGACCAAAACCATCTGTTCCCTTTTGCCCCCAATTCTTATTTGCCAGTTCATGAAATTAGTAGCTTTTGGATTGAGATTCCTGGGAAAGGGTAGCTTGCTGGAATTCCTGGGATATACTAATTTCCTATCATTTATTGGATCCACCATCTTGGTTTTCCTTTTTCCTAGAGGTAGGGGGTGTCTGGCAATGCAGTCAATATAATGTTCATAGACTTGTGCAGTTGTGCCTGATGTTCAACTATTGTACTCTATTTTTCTTTTTCCTGTGAAGGGCAATACTTTGTGCTGTTTCGTGTTTAATTGTAATATCCCAAATCGACAATGAAAAAACAGTTTAACTGCTGCAGCACATGACTTTAAAGGAACAAAGGAGGGGTATCTAACATCACCAATTGATGCTACCTACTAGTATAAAGTTAAGACTTTGTTTGGTTTTAGTATTCGACAAATAATTTCATTACATTTTGTTGCCCTCAACAAATTATACCGGTGAGTCCTAATCTAAATTATATACGTAGCGTTAATATATTATGTACCTTCCATTAATAGATTGTGTACATAATTCCCATTAATAGATTGTGTACATAATATATTATGTACCTTCCATTAATAGATTGTGTACATAATTTTCATTAATAAATTGTGTACATAATTTGTTAATTGTAAGTACATAATCACCCTATTTGGCTGTTTGATAAATAGCTGTTAGTTGATAACTGTTAACTGATTGAGTTAATTAGAGGGTATAGCTAGTTGATAACATTAGTTGATTGTAGAAAGATGGTTGGTAAATTAGTTGTTAGTTGATAGTTGTTTGATATAATTTCTTTTTTCAAAAAGTTAATTGAATTTTAGCATTTTGGAGTTACAAAAAATTAATTTACCAAATATTTATATTGACTTTTTAACCAAGTCAAACAATTAATAGTGGTCAAATAATTTAAAATTGACTGATAAGTTAATTATTTTACCAAACAAGGATATTCATACATGATAGGGTTCACCATGTGCATGATAAACTTTAATTTACACAAAATATGTTAATTAATTGTACATGATAGGACTCACCATGCGCATGGTGGACCCTAATTTACAATATAACAATTGTAATGTTGGGCCTAGACTTAGGAGTATATATAACTTGGTTTCAAAATTCATATTTTTCCAACTCAGAACAAAACCAGTTTTGTGACATTGGTAAAGAGCCAACAATGTACTAACACCCATCTAAACACAAACCATACCAAAGCCTTGGAACCAAGTATTTTCATATACAAACTGTAATATAAACAAAAAGGAAAGGAGGCAGAGGGGGTTGAAATTTCATTATTTCCTGCCTGGTAGATGAGCAGAGCCTCAATACTGTTTTCGATCGAATGCAATGCAGCTCTCTCTGGTAACAATTACCCTCTAACTCTTATGGAGTTGTAGACATCAATGTACTTCCCTGCTGTATTATTCCAGCTGTTGTCAATTTGCATAACCTTCTGCACGGTAGCGTCCCATTCACTTGGCTCTACATATAGCAAAGAAAATATGGAGTAAAAATACTGCAAGAAAATACACAATATATATTGAATTAACATCACGCAGTTAGTAGATTTGCTATCGGTCATGAGGATCAATGCCTTTAATCTATATACATTGATCAGCATCTTGTATCTACAATAATATTCCAGTCGAGGCGTAAATGTATCTTCTAAAAGGCATTAGTACTTTTGGCATGTCCAGTGTCCAGTCAAATCACCGCCAAGAAATCATTATTTTAAATAGTGATAGTGTTCACTGTTCAGTAATGAATTTCTTCTACATGCTCATATTTGATAATTTAGCTCCATATAATGAGTGCAAATTAAACATTAGCTGGCAAATGATATAAGAAATGAATGATGCTACTTTGCTACTTGCTTTTTCCTTTGTGTTATTTATACATATATGTAAATCAAAGATGAGGGCAGATGCTTTAGGTTTTGGGGAAGGGGGGAAATCTTTAAAGTACTCTCGACTTACTTTCTCTATAGTGTAAAAATGCACGCTCTAAAGCCCAGTTTAAGGATGCTTCATCAATTCCTTCAAAGACAAACCTGTGAGGAAAATACAAGTCAAAACGTAAGTATTGTATTTGTTGAAACCGTGTTTGAAAAAAATATATAATAAAATAATTACTATGATATTCACAGAAAATTCCTTAATCAGCATAAAATCAAGAAGCTGCCCGTGATAAAATATCACTTGTCAATTGGTTTCATAAGGAAATAGCATAAACAGTTGTGAATACAATCCAGATTTATGCAGACTAAATCATGCTTTTTGAAACCTTATGCTGTAATTGTTTTCTCCATTTGGTGTACAGCATACTTCTCAATAACCTCAAAACATGTGCAAAGTTGTCCAAAGTAGTACTAAATGTTATAACGGGAAAAGAATTAAAGATGCAGAAATAATAAGCAATTCATCTACACTTACAAGGCAGTTAATGCTGCTAAACCTATTCAGGATACTGAGTTCACTATATGAGGCCACAATCAAGCGGTATCAATTTTCTATAGAATAAAAAAATGGCAGTAAATATGAACTTGTTTAGTACCCATTTGCAATATCTGAGTTTGACTCATTGTCCATGTCAAAAACTGTGTCTGCAAGGCCACCCGTCTTCCTAACTATGGGAATCTGAAACAGCCAGAGTAGAAGCGCCGTTTGAATTCACTTTCATATTCAAAGTTACTTATGTTTATGAAAGAATTACTGTAATAGCTATAAGATAACATAAGCCAACATTTGGAGGAGCAAATATAATTGGAGGACCACTGATTCTATCTTACATAGAATCAAACACTAACAATCAAACTTTGCTGTAATTATCAAGATGTAGACCAATTTAAGGCTTTAAGGCTGAAATGCTTTCAAGGAATAGAGTCCTAACACACAGAACTAGATACAGATGCTTGAGGGCATTATCTTTTTGGTGTAAACTGCAAAGAACTAAGTAGAAGGGCATGGAGGATTTCATGGATCTCTTAGCTCCCAGCTTGGGGCAGCTTCCCTTTTGTGAATAAATGCATTTACTAAGTAGAAGGGCATGGAGGATTTCATGGATCTCTTAGCTCCCAGCTTGGGGCAGCTTCCCTTTTGTGAATAAATGCATTTACTTAGTGTTATAATCTCAGATTGGGTCAATGTCATTCAATTGGGCAACCACACTAAAATAGTGAATCCAATAAACTAGCTAGTCTAACCCATGTCCCCTTAAGTGGACAACCGGGTCACTCAATTAGGCTATAATGCACATGGGTCAAACCACACTAAAAACTGAATCCAATCAATTAACTGTCTAACACATGACCTTATAAACCCATGTTTTCTCTCTTATATTTTCAATGTGGGACTCTTAACACTTAGCAAAGTTGAGAAAATATTTCTATCAACAGAAGATGCACATACCGCTCCATAACGCATTCCAATCATTTGAGCAAGTCCACATGGTTCATATATTGAAGGAACCAGGACCATGTCTGCAGCAGCATAAAGCATATGAGACAGTTCCTCACTGCACATTTAAAAAAAAAAAAAAAAAAAAAAAAAAAAAAAAGACACTTTCAGAAAAATTCACAACTATATTGCCAAATTTTGCTTCACCCACAAAGAATACAGGGATTACCGTAAAGTAATAGTAGTCAGTATGAGGAACAACTTCTAGTAAAATTTCAATGCAAACATATATAAAGCCTTGTGAATCATTTTACTTCATATTTTTATCTTGCAATTCTATTCCATTTAATGTTTCTTGCTTTGCAATCAAGTAAAGGCGACAATTAACTTGTGCTAGTAACCCTTTCAATTTTGAATCAATGGAATTAATTTCTTCCAATAATTTTGAGCAATCACTTGTCGAGTATTTCTGCACTAATATCAGCTTTAGATCTATAATACATGACATTCTTTGTAGTGATCTGAAATTGAAATTAAGCCAATATCAGTGTGCTTTGCTCAACAGAATACTGGGCATATTACTTCATTAAAATTTGTGGCACATCTAATTCTGTTGAAATATAAACAAATCTAGTTTCTTTAAATTCTCTGCTAGATCGGTTACAATCCATGACTTGAAAAAAGTAACTAAGCAACTTGCTATTGCATTAAAAACCAAGATTTACCGGACCATCAGTAGTACAAATCTTAAGTTTGTTTCTGGTTTCTAAAGCTTCTAGATAAAGAAGGACTTACTTTTAATTCTGAGTTCTGACAAGTCCAATTTGACAACTATAGGAGGATGAGATTGTTGTGTGGTTTGGGGAATTCCATTGGCATTTTTTTTTCCCCTGTTGGTCATGAAAATGTTTTTATTTGGATTACTTTATTTAAATTTTTCATAGAAATCATTTTTTTCTTCTTAAACTGCCTTATTCGGACATAATTTGGTCAGTTGGAAAAACCTAGTTATGATTCAGGCCTTAATCCAATGAAGAAAAGTAAACTGGAGAAAAAAATAAAGCAGAAAGAGGTTAGATTAAACAATGAGGAAAATAGGAAATCCTGGCCAACTTTCAAGAATAGTTTACCTATACATCAAAAGGATACGGATGCTGGAACCAATGCCATGCTACAAAACAAATAAAGTGTCACTGTGCAGGATCCTAAAGTTAAAATATGATGGCATATAGAATGATTAGAATCTATTCAAAAGTAGTAATTTTGTTGTCCTAACATGTCCAACTAAAGGCCATTTCCCTAATATGATTTGAAATCTCTAGACCTCTGAGAGGAAAGGCTGTTTGCAGGCTATATCAGTATAACTTCAAAAATGCACAACAATCCACTAATTACTTATCTAGCTCTAGAATATGGTTGACATTTGGTGAATGGGGAGTTTTTTTGTTGAGTACTATCTGTTACAATGTAGTATATGTTCATAACTACTTTCTCAACCTACTGAAGCACAAATAGCCAATACCGCCTCCAATGGGTTCGAACCCATGACCTCCCATTTGGTAGAGCCACTTCGTGCCACTAGTTTACTAAAAAGTCATGAATACAGTCCAACTGGTTAAACAAGAGTGTGATGGCCCAAAATGTGATAATTGGCTTATTTGTTTAGTAAAGGCTCTTACCCAAGATAAAATTGATAATATCTAGATCTCTTATACTTCTTGATTAATCTATTTTCTTCATTTCACAACATTACTACACTTTCTATATGACCCATATGAATCACAAAAGTATTATCATGTGAGCACTTCAAGACAATTTATTTAGAAAAAAAAAAGGATTACCAATTTAGCAAGATCTTGAAATTCTCTTTCAACTTGACCTTCTGAAGCTTTCCCCAATACAACCATCTGCCCACCCTACAAATAGTGCAGAGTCCAACTTCAGTGGCAAAATCTGATAAGAACTTCTTCACATATTGACACACATACAGCAGAGGCAAAATAATGGAATAAGATGACCACTTCTTTACCCTGTTTTTAATGTACATAAGGCTGCTATATAAAAAAAAAAAAAAAAAAAAAAAAAAAAAAAAAAAAAAAAAAACAGTGAATTTAAATCATTTAGGGCAATATAGGAGAAAATTCGTTATTAAGAGCATGAAAGTATTGGGATTTTATACTGGGATTGGGAGGAATCTGGTGGCCTAAATCCGATGGCCTGTGCACCAATCTGTCAAGGATGTGTTCTTAGGACTTTGGGCGGAACCTTTTAGAAAAAGAGAAAGCAAGAAAAAATGGAACTTGGCCCATATTAGCTTATTACTTTGGTTAATTTGGAACAAGAGAAACTGACTATGCTTTGAAGAGTCCAGACATTTTTATTTTATTTTTGGTGCATACCCTTTTTATTTGATCACAAGGTCGGTATCCTAATCATACTCTTCTTTGGTTGAGTGTGTAGACTGATTCAAACTTGTATAAACCTGTGGGGCGCCTCTTTTTAGCTGCTATAACTGTGGGTGTATCCCCTTGGTACCTTTTATTAAAGCTTTATTTAAAGAAAAGGCTCAATGTTAATCTCATTTAACTGCATGCTGGATCATGGGTAATATGCATACATGATGAAGGCAACAAGCACATGTCCTGCCTCTAGGTGATATGATATACAACTCAACCTAAGTTCCACCTGAGACCTACTCCTTGTGACATGGTGATTGAAAGGGGTGTTTAGGGCGCAGGGATAAATATTGCAATTAAATGTAGGATACAGACACATCCACACACACTTTAGTACTTGATGAACTTCATTTGAAACAGTAAAGGCAAAGGAAAATGGAAAAGTTTCCAACAGGTAATCAGGATGAAAAGCAGACTAACTATAGCTCATGACTAGATCTCTAGGATAACATTATAAATGAATTCAGAATAGAGGGCTTGTTGAACTACACAACTTCTATTTTCCCTTTTCCTTCAGTAGCAGACTCCAGAAAAAAGAGATTCCAGAAATGACTTTTGACAATATACTATTCTCTATAAAGTTTCAACAAAACACGGATAGGTGAAATAAATATACACAAGTTTTTGTATCTTTTACTTCACGATATGAAAACCCATATTTCCATATGTAGCGAAAATAAGAAATCACATTTTCTTTAAATAGCTAAGATCAAATGATCTTTTGGTTTAGACCATCTAGTTTAAGAGCTAGTGCCCATAGGGTATTCTGAGTATCCTCTTCAGAGAAGATAAGGAGCAGAGGGACTTACTAACTCCTCCACCCGCTTTATTGCCTGAATTATCAAATGAAGACCCTTTTGACGAACCAGTCTAGTAATGCATATAACCAAAGGCACTTGATGAGAAGAATACGTATGCAAGCTCAAGTCATTCACAGTCAAACCAAGCCCCCTTTGCACAAAGAGTTTGCATATCTTCTTCCCCATGATGTTATGAGCTTTCAAAACCAAGTAAATTAGATTAAGAAAAAAAAAGGGATGAAGAAAGAATAACCAATAACATTAAAGTTTTCATAGATCATCCTGATAACAGTAATATCTTATAGAATCTGATGGAATATAATGGGGATGATAATTAGTAAAAATGGCATTCTCAAAAAACTAGCACATGAAGAAGTAGTTACCATCAAATTTAGCAGGCAGATAAATATCAGTTGCAGGGTTCCACATTGCAGTATCTATTCCATTTAAAATACCAGAATACCTGCATTATTACATAAAATTCCTGTCACATTCTTTTGGGATATAAGTTAAAATTCCAGACTGTTGAATAGGCAATTAAAACATGTATATAGTTATAAAGATTTCCTAAACAATAAACCAGATCATTATCAGATGCTTCAATTGACAATAAACCCCAAATTTCTGAAATCTATAACTAAACAAATTAATGTATGAGAGATTTCAAAGAACTTACTTATCACGGTTTCTTATCATAGTGCTGGCAAGCCATCCAGAACAAAGTGTTTCTTTGAGATATGTTGGAGAGACTGTACTGAACATTAGAAGAAAAATAAAGAACTTCCTTTTTATAACAAGTAGAAGAAAATCACACAAATAACTCTAATATTGTAATACACTAGGTCTATATGCATGGGATGAGTAAGTCAACAATATTTTGGTGCAAATTCCTAACTTTGAACATACAACCAAATTTGAAACATGACCGAAAAAAGAATTCCAAGCAGTGTCATGCTTATATGGTAGAGTCAAACAGAGCACTAAAATGTATGCTCTATAAAGATCCTTGCAACTAATCATTCTTTTACTATTTTTCTATCAAGTTTATTTTATTCACATAGCTTGAAGGGATGCATGATGTCAATGATAAATTTTGATTACTTGTCTACATTAGCACAGAAATATCAATTTGTCTAATTGTCTCAGGACAAAACTTCACAGCTCCACACATGTTGAGCACAAAATGTTTCAGTTTTTCTTTAAGAAAGAGTGACAATGGCATGCACTGTAAACTAATTAAAAGCAAATAACGGGAGCATATCACTTGGTTTTACAATTTTTAGGTATGATAGGTAAGAGAGGATAAAATTTATTTACTGAGTACCAGTGTACCACCCAAGTCCATAGATATACATGAGTCTGGTTTTTGTCTGTCAAGCTATAGTTGGCAATCACCTCTACAAGATTTCACTAAAGAGACAAAGCATTTGAAGACAAGAACATTTGTCAACAGTTCATCTTGATTTTCTGGAGAAAATCTCCAATACTGAATTTGGAGAACAGCTCTCTAACTGTTTTACCAATAAAGTGCAGAAGGTACTCAAGAGTATTAGATTTGTAATGGCAATATAGGTCTTAAATAAGTTGAAAACACAGATTTTACAAGGAATATTTATTACTCATATTAATTGTTTATATCATGTTGATGTTAATCCAAGAACAATGCTCTTAATGTTTACTGATAAAGCCCAGTAATTACTTGAGAGTGTCCAATTTGTAATAAGAAAATAGGTCTTGATACAATTGAAAACACAGATTTTACAATGAATTGTTATTATATTAATCAAAGAAAAGTGACTTTGTTTTACTCAATGGCATATTAGTTACAAACTTAAAATTGCAACTACAGATGGTTTAAAAATAAAAAATTGAAGTCATTTATATCCATTAAGAAAGATGTGTTCTCCCACATTGAAAATATGTGTACGATTTATGAATGCTAGGGAAGCTACTTATAAATAGGAGTGACATGTAATCCTTAATATACATCAAATATCAATACAATACACACACACACACATAAATTCTTTTTATTTGTCAGACACCTGCCAAACTTTGAATCCTTCATTTGATTACAATGTTAAAGACACCCATTGATGTCAATCTGAGAAATTTTTGAGCTGCTAGATGCCTAGATCTTTTGTTCCCAAAAGGAATGCAACTAAAGAACAAGAAACAGAAAACTATTTAATGTGTTCTTTTGGTACATTTAATGTGGATGGGGAAGATATTCAACTTAACTGAAGTTGCCTCATTTTCCTATCCATTCCTATTTGGCAACTAGGTAGTAGGTACTGCCATTAAGTCAACCATATTTCTTCACAGGTCATGGAGTACAATTTCTAACTGCATCTTATTTGAATAATTATAGCATCATGGTATTTACTTCTATTCAACAAGCATAGACAACTCAGAGTTTCTCATGCATGTTATTATAATTTAAGATTGGGCACTGGGTCACTCAATTGGGCAACTCAGAGTTTCTCATGCATGTTATTATAATTTAAGATTGGGTCAGGGTCACTCAATTGGGCTATAATGCATATGGGCCAAACCACACTAAAAGATTGAATCCAATCAATTAGCTAGTCTAACCCATGTCCTTATAAACCCATATATTCTCTCTTAGTTTTTCAATTTGGGACTCTTAACACATGTAAAAGAAATTGTCTATCATATACATACAACAAAATACAGCTGTGCATATACTGAAAGTTGAACACCCAGGTCAGTAAACCAAGTAAATCTTTAAGAATACAGGTAACACATTTCATGAGGATGTCTAAGGTTCTTTTGCATAGGAAATATGGGTGTATATACATGTATCAATACTTTACACACCTATCTGGCCAACCCTTTTTTACTCTACTTAGCTTGTAAAAATTTTCACTCTGGAGTGTTCCACATCCATAGACCATAATAGAATAAAAACTAGTCATAGGTCTACGTATATTACTTTTATTTGCACATGAACCAATTTAATATAAAAAATGAAGTTGGCTGAACTTACACTACTGCATTGCTGAAGACTATTCCACCTTTAAGCAGACTTAACCTCTCTGGATTGTGTCCGATTGTGCGTTCATCAATTGCCTGCCATGTTAGAGGCAAGGTGACTCGTTTATAGAGGATTTTCTCCTCTTGAAGGTGAATGCAATTCAAATATTTAGCTGAAACAGATCATCTATTATATTTAACATATGAGAGCAATTCATAAATAGCAAAAGAATGTCGTTCAATATTATGCATTTTCATACAAAATATGGCATGCCTACAGAGGAATTATTGAAGCTTTTATATTTGTTTGATAAGCAAACCTTGTCTTCAGTTGCATACACAGATCCATCAAGGCCACACTTGCTAAGTTGCTCTTTGCTGTCAATATAAAGTATGGCAGACAAGGAGGAAAGATCATTATAAACTTAGGGCAACAGTTGCACAAAAGTACCAACCAAAAGTTAATGAATACGTGGTGGCACCTCAATATATATAAAAATTCAACAACAACAACAACAACAAAAAAAACAAAACAAAACAAAAAAACAAAAAACAAAAAACAAAAAAAAAAACAAAAAACAAAAAAAAAAAAAACAAAAAACAAAAAACAAAAAACAAAAACAAAAACAGCACTTGATGAGATCATAACTTAACAATAAACTGATAAAGGTAACCCAGTCCATTACTATGCCAACCACTAGGTCAGCAGTTGAATTACGAGCACAATAAATAACAAAGAAGATAAATGGGTAAATGATAAAAAGACTTCAATGAACAGTATTGGACTGCTGTATTTCTTGTTCTTGTTTATAAAATAATTTTCAATATGATCAGCAAAACATGTTCATGATAGAAGCAAGTGAATTCCTATTTGCGACTTTAACTACATAAGTAGCAAGTATCCCAACCCAGGCCCTGAGGCACCAGTTTCCAGCTCCATTGGCCTAGGCAACACAAGATGGCTTACAAAACATATTTAGAAGAATCAGATTCCCAAAATCATACATCTCTGAAAGAATTCTGAATAGTTTTCTTGTTGCTTCATAAATCATTTGTAGCAAGACATGAGAACAGTTACTTGTTGTGAAATGAAAAAAAAAAAAAAAACGGATGTGAAAATTGCAGTATCCCCCATCCCAGATTCACAGACAACAATATTACAGAAGTACAGAACTTATAGAATTTAAAAAGGTATAGAAATTGAAATCATGCCTTGCAAGTATTTGGAAGCTTGGGCATGGAGATTGATTAAAATTGTCTGTTGTATCTTTTTCTTTCTATTTCATAATTCTGTTACCTTTAGAAACTTCACATAGTTAAGAAATAGGGAGTGAATCTAGAGCTCTACTAACTCAACTCCTTGTATGGTATTCCATCCCAACTTCCCCATTCTCCACTGGCAAGGCAATAAGCTTGTATCATAAAAAATGAATATAAAGTTAAGCAAAGAAGAGATAGGTGTTTCTGGACAGAATCTGTCTTTGCTTGTCTATATCTGTTAACCTTCCATGAGGAGAAGAGAAGGATTGGAAGAATGGAAATACAAATAAATAGCCCACAATAGCGCCCATTAAATAAACAAGTTTCATTTGTTACAAGACAAGAAGTTACAAGTGCATGAAATTAGTACTGTACCTGCACTCTCCATAATGCTCCATGTTGTGGATTGTAAGTATAACTCTTGGTTTCTACCAAAGATTGAAGACAATAGGATATTTAAATGTAGTGCTGCAATTTGTATATCAGCTCCATAAAGCTGAGACAGGATAAAACAAAAGAGCTATTAATTATACCTGCATTGAGAGATACTGGTACATATCCCAGTAAAGGAGAGGTAAAGCACCAGTTTGCCATTCATGAACATGAATAATATCAGGTTGTCTTCCAGTTACCTGCAACAGGATGATGAAATGATCAAATTTTAGATGATAGCAATATTTAAAGTTATTCTGGAGATTAACTCAAGAAGAAACAGAACGAGGTGTGACTTAACACTAAGAAAAAGAATTTCATGATCAAGGACATGGAAATCAATCAAGTTGAGGAAAGTAAAACACAAAGAAGAAAGTGTCCTGACTGTGCCCAGAGGCCAAAATCTGGAATTAAATTAATCAAGGGGGTTATATATCACTTGTACATATTAAGAAATCAAGTTGAGGGCACAAGCCCTTAGATTTTCCTGCTCACATTCACCTAGAGACATGCAAACTCACCCTGGTAGATACTTATACAGTTGGTTTGATGCACACAACACCCCTTAAATTTGGCTCTACAATTGTCAAAGCATAACCAAATTCATTATAATAGAATACCTGCATCCACTCAAGGCACGCACGGCTGAAAAACAAGTATGCCTCCAGCTCATTGTATGATCCTCCATATATGTTCTGTCCCTTGAAAAAGTGGTTAGTTGGTTCGATGAATATCACAGGAATGTCTGAAACTTCTCCTTGATAAGCATTAGTAGGGACCCAGTTTCCATCGTGATAAGAACTAAATGTATTAATCAAAGCCAAACCATTGATATAGTCCTTTGGTATACACTCATAGAAAGGAAGCATAACCAAAACATTATGTCCACGCAATAGACAAGCACGGGCAAGTCCAGTCACGACGTCACCTAGACCCCCAACTTTTGCTATGGGTGCCATTTCAGCTGTCACATGAATAATGTGCATAAGGTCAGAATCCTTTTCCACACCAGCTGAAGCTCTTGAAGCAAGGTCCCACAACGGGAATTCCCTCTTCCAGAATGGAATTTCGTCATTGGGAGAAGGCCAATCAAGATTTTCATACCCAAAATCAGCTTTTGAACCTTCCAGTTGCTCAACTTCCACCTGTATATATAAAACTAAGATCAGGTAGGTTTTTATTCATACAACCAGCTCCCCACCCCAGCTGCCCAAATAAACAGATGATCTTGGTTTCCTAGTAAACAAATTCATATAGATATTCTAAGCATCATAGCATTAAGTCTGAGAAACAGAACTGTGCACATAAATTTACAGAAAACCCTCTGCTCCAATAAGCATAAAGCACACAAAATTCCCATTTCAACACTGAAGTCCTGTGCCCGTTTCAACTTAGACGCAGTTTTCAAGCTTTTGTGCTCTAAACAAGAGTATGCAACTAGATACTTAATATCACCAGAATTAAATACAACTAATAACAGGAACACTGAAATGTATGAAATTAATAACAGGGAAGTTGAAATGAGAGTGGGAAAAAAAAAAAAAAAAAAAAAAAGCACGGGATTCTTACTTGACCCAGAGCTTTATTGTTATGAAGGATTATAGTCTTTAAGTTTTGCGAATGCGAATAATACAAATGTTGAGATGAATTCAAAAAATTCGCCCCATTGATGTCGTTCTTGTTCTTCTTCTCACTCTTGTACCCGTAATCATAATAATTACAACAGTTACTGATGTAGCTGTTGCTTCTCCTGATACGCTTAGGCACCGACGATGACAGAAATGAGAAAGCAGGGCAGCAGCCGGCCGTTATCGACTCCATTACTAAACACAATCTTCTTCTGATACTAGTACAAGTGTGCAGTGTACTAAAATCAGAAAAGGTTATGCATAGGTTCTCCGCAATCCGTATATTCTAGTAATGGAAACATGGAATCTTCTTTCTAGGTGCTGAAAGCGAGGTGGCGAATGCAACAAATTTGAGTTCTACTACCTGTAGTACCTAATCTTATTCCCTGATATGATGGATTCAGTTATTTTTTTCACGATTTTGTGTGTGAAAGGACAAATTGAGAGTACAAAATAGGGGTACGTATAACATTTTCCAACAAACTTATATGCGCTTTAACCGTTCTTTTTTATTTTTTTTTATGTTTTGATTCATTAAGTTTTTTTTAGTTTATGCAAGATTAATTCTAAGTTCTTAAAAGACCTTCCATTCTGCTGTTGGAGCAAGACTTGTGACCTTTGAACTATTGGATTAAGTCCAGCAAAAAAACTTGTTGTCACCTTGTAATCTAGTTAGCAAAAAACAGTCCCATCACATAGGCTGATTCTGTTGAGAATCAAACTTGTACTATTGTGATTATCAAATCAACAAAGGTCATAGTTATCAAATCAACAAAGGTCGATAGACTAATTCCATTGAGAATCGAACTTGTAACTTTGTGGTTACCAAATTAACAATTCAACTGACTTAACTGGAGTTGTACTGAATTTTTATTTTTAATTTATGATTATTTTGTATTATATTTAAAAAATAAACATTTCCTACATTAATAATGAACAGTTCGATATATTACAAATGTTTAATCAATGATTTACATTACATATGAACCGTATGATTCATAGTATAATTTGCCGTTACCCGTACTGCTGGGCTTATTGTCTGGCTCGCTTGCTAAATGCCAAGCTGGTTCAATCCTGTGGGCGGCCTACTCTGCTGGTTTCGACAAATTATTCCTGAAAGATAAACTCGGGTCTAAAAATATACAATTTACATATTGAATGTTCACAATTTATATACTGAATTTTCACTATTTACATACTAAATGTTCATAAAATTTACATACTAGATGTTCACAATTCAAATTGTGAACATTCAATATGTAAATTGTGTATTTTGAACTCAGATCTATCTTGCAAGGAAGTCTTGCAGACTCTGGTCCATGGTATAACTGCTGGTTTGAGCATATGGTCCGCAATATTATCTCGAATAGTATGATTATCATAAACTCAAAAATTATCATAAGAAATAACTATGATTTCGTATACAAAAGTGTTTTTGTGGTAAAACAATGGAAGACTAGAAGGAGTTGACTAGAAGGAGTTGAGTGCATTTCAGGGTAAAATGAAGGACAGGACAGGAATACTGGGAGATGAGGTAAAAGTAAAGATGGCAGGTGAGCATTATGCAAGGACCTTCAAGCCCTGCTATATTCAGATTCTGATGAAAGTCAAACAACTAAACAGAGCAGGTTTAATCACATCAACAAAGGACATGTATAGATACATATCAAGCCTCCCTATTACCACTAATCAGCATTGTTCTTAAATCCATCAAAACGAAACACAAAACAAGCAGTTCTTATCATCATCATAACTTTCTTCCCCTTTCTTCTATCTGAATAAAGAAATGATATGCCCGAATGCATACACAACTTAGAATCAGCTTTCCTCTCGCCGCCTTTTATCTCCATTCTGCTTCTAATTTCTCCTGTTCTTCATCAGTCCATAGTCATCGGTTGGGTCATGCAGCATCTGAAACGCGCCTTCCTCACAGTTGTCATGATCTCTGTTTCGGCAGCCTCCAGCATTCTGACCACCTCGGAGAAGGGGGGCCTAACATCAGGATTAGGATCCCAGCAGCGGCTCATGATCTCAGCCAGGACGGGCAAACAATCGTTCGGTATTGTCGGGCGGACACCTTTGTTTACAACAGCAAAAGCCGCCTGCACAGCAGTCATGTTCTGGAAGGGAAGCATCCCAGTGATCAGCTCCCACAGGACAACACCAAAGCTATAAACATCGACTTTCTGGGTGTAAGGCCTGTGCTGGATCATCTCCCTGCAAGTCAGAGTAAAATGCATGCAAGTAGAGAGAAACTGAGCATTGCTTCAGAATAAGGAATAAATCAATGCAATTATTCAAGACCAATTACACCAGAAAAATAAGATAAGATTTCACAAGCAAGGAATATCATTTTTTATGAGGCAAGCAAATCAAAAGGAATTTGGTTAGCCTAAACAAAACAATGCCATTGAGACCAAGAATGGAAGTACACTTATTAAAGAGAGAGGGGACCATGGCCAAATATACATTTTTTAAACATTAAAGTATCAATAGATTCACACAACAATAATCATCAGCCCTCATCTCCAAGATGCAAAGTCGTATCATACATATTGGATGAGGTTATATGAAGCTAAAGGGCAGGTTAGAGGTAATATACTGTAAAAAAAAATCTGTGTTTCACAGTGTTATGACAAGATTTTCAAGATTTCAACCCTCCAAGAATGTTCCCATTTGTGTAAACAAACCCATACCAACCACTTTAAAATTCACACTGACAAGTTATAAATCAGGTTAGTCATAAACCATAATCACTACTCAACAAATCCAGAGTAGCTCTTCACCTCAATCCTCAAATAATTTTTATGGGTGTGCCCCCAAACAGAAAAGCAGCAACAGAGTCCCGAGAAGGTAAGTACGGATGATTGGCGTTATGAACAATGTACAGTTTCTCCATTAGTCATGAAAACATACCCCAAAAAATCTTCTTTCTTATAAATTCTATATCAAAAAGAGAGAACAGGATAACTCCATCAAAAGCTGGTGACTTAATAAGGCATAATTAACTTTAAAGGGTTGGGAGGACCTATGTAGCTGTTATCAAGTAAATAAGAGCTTGGTTAACTATGTCCACTCACTAAGAGCTTAGCAATTCAGATTTCAAATACAGTGTGCATAGTTTCCACTTCTGAGAAGTTACATTTCAGAGAACAAATCCCTTACACTTTTGGCATATGGGATTTATATATATACTTTGATAAGTATATAGGCATTACATTCTGTAGACATCAATCAAAGTGCTATGGATGTTATTGCTACTCAAATACCACTGCTAAACAAACCATGCTTCCATTTATGTACATTCTTTTTCTACTTTCTTCATTTGATCTCAAGGAAAAACCCTATAAAGAAAATGTCTCTTCTTATTAACCATTAGTTAAGTGGAAACTAATAAAAGAAGCTAGTGGAAATTTTTGAAATTGGAGTACTAGATAATGTCAATTTGGTGAAAGTGTCAACGGCCATACACATGTCAAGAGGTATCAACCAATTTCCTCCACTTGAGAGACTACATTTAAGTTTGTTTTTATTCTAAAAGGGGAAAGGCAAAATAAAAAGTATAAAGAGTCCTCCAACTCTCCAAGGGTTGCCAATTCTTAGAAACTGCACAAATGCAGCCATAGATGTATAAATTACGTAGCTGCTGTTTCATGAGTTGAAGTTTTAAATCATGTCCAAAATCCTATTTGGAGATTTGAAACATAAAAGTCAAACATACTACACAGAAACAAATTCTCTGGAAAACCAAACATCAACAACCTAAAGGTTAGAAAGTAAGCTAGATCGAAGTAGTGTATCCAATAAGTAGGTAATTCAGTAAAAGAGATTGAATTGCAGGGAAAAGACAATCTTAAATAAAATCTAATTATGTCCAATGATTAGGTCAAAAATTTAAAGAAAACAATTGACAAGTTCCCCAAAAAGCAAATCAATTAAGTAAAGCTGACAAAAGAAGGAAGAGACTTACGGAGCCATCCAACGGTATGTTCCGGTCTCTGGCGTCATTCCTTCAGTCTGAACTTCAATGCGAGCAACTCCAAAGTCAGCAATTTTAATGGACTTGTCAGCAGAAATTAAAAGGTTGTCAGACTTCAAGTCACGATGGATCAAATTAAGGCCATGAACATATTCCATGCCCCTTGCAACATCCAAGGCCTGCTTTACAGCCAATTTCAAGGGCACAGATCGGTTTTGTCGCTTTGCCAGGAATTGCCGCACAGATCCTCCTTTTGCATACTCAGTTACAATACACCAAACCATGGGTTTACGGCATGCACCGATAAACCTAACTATGTTTGGATGCTTCAACCTTGACAACATCATTACTTCCTGCTGAAATTGCTGCTCCATCAAGTGAGCCCTCTCAAGATCATTCTCTGGTCTCTCAAGAAGCTTAATTGCAACATCCTCACCATTATAAGTTCCCTTGTAAAGTTTGCCAAAAGCACCCTGGGCAAAAGCTGGTCCCATATTAAGTTTCCTTAAATCAATTGTCCACTCATCATAATTCTCAAGCCCCTGAGTAGCATATTGTGGATCCATCAAAGCTCGTGCCAGTGCATCATCACTCAATCCATGAGAAACTTTTCCCCTGTTCACACTAGCTGCAACAGAATAGTTGTTGTGAACACGCTTGAGACCCTGGTGGTTTAAGATCCGAGTATTTGAATCATTGGACCCAACACTGCTGTTATCCATAGACATTGCAACAGACCCTCCGCCATTGCTCATTTGCAAGCTTGGATAACTGTCAATTGACATATTTGACCCCTCGCCAAGCTTATGATAAAAGTTTTGAGAGAGACCATAATTATCATGGTTTTGATTTAGGTCTATAAGTCCTGCAAATTTTGGACCTTCCAACATCTTCTCTGTCACCACTGCTGCAGCACAAAAAAATTATATTTATTTTACCTCGACTTATTCTTCTGCATGAGCATTTAATTCCTCAAATCTAACTTTGCATATGCCTGCAACAACCTTAAACATCAATGGGTCAATCAACAAGGAATAAAGGGGAAACAATGTTCAACAAAACAATTTGTTTTCCAAAATCAAGCTATCAATAAAACAACTGTCCGACTTAAATTCTTGCAAAGAACCCACCTTAATTTCTGTGTACTAAAGGTCTATGGATCGGCCTAGTTACCTGAAAACAGAAAATCCAAAGTTTTGAGAAGGCGAAAAAAAATCAATTAAAAAAGACTTCTTTACGAACTACAGAAGAAATTAGAACAACAAAACATGAAAAGTAAAATCGCCGAATGCATAATTGAGACTAAAAACAAAAGAAAAGGAACGTGACAAAAAGCAGACGAGAAAAATATAT